TCTTCCATGACTTAAGTACTGTCTCTGCTCTTAGGAGTTGATTTCACTACTTAAGATAAAATGATATTCTTTGATGTCTCTGAGAAACAATATTGTATTGGTAACTCCAAGATCTGAAAACATTCATTTCAATACATACAGAAGCTAGAGAGACTGGCTGCTACAAGGGAATTAAAACTCATTTTTTAAAATTTGTTTTTATTGGGGCATTGTACTTTACAAAGTTATTCACGACTGAGTTTCAGACAGACGAAGTTCCGACACTAATTCTTTCAACAGTGTTCATTTCCCTCCACCAGTTCCTGCTTTCTCCACCCCCTTCCTGCATATTTTTTCTTTTAGGCACTAAGTTTTACAATACCATTACCAATAAGGTTTTGTGAATACCACTTCACCACCTTCCAGTACCCTCTCCTATTCCAGATTGACCAATTCCCTCCACCATTGTCACAGTGGTTCCTTCCCCTTCCTGTCCACACCCCGCCCTGCCCTTCTCGCCTACTCCATTGGGATGTTTCCTACTTAAAACCAGTTCTCATGTTCTTTGGGATGTAAAATTAGTTTTGAAGATGGCTGTAATTTGAATTCCTGTTCCATTAATTCCAAATTCCTATTTCTGTGACCTTTAGCACACCTCTTCTCTTTATTGCTTTTTCAAAATTAGCACAACTAACTTTCACTGTGAACATTCAACTGTTTTGCTTTTTTAGTGATCACTTCAGGTTTTCCGCTATGTCACCTAAATATATCACAGAGATAATATATTAAAGTGATAGCATACCTTTTGGTATACTATGTAATAACATGAAAATATCATGCTGGCTTTTCTACCATTCCAAGCAGTATATTTTGTCGTATTTTATTCATATACTTTATATTATAAGTCTCATACTCAAAAATCTCACTCCTTTTTTGTTTAAACAGTTCATTCCCCTTTAAAGGGATGTAAAAACCTAAGAAAACAGCATTATATGTATTATGTATTTACTATGTAATTACCGTTCCCTGTGTTTTTCCTTCTTTTATGTAGATTCATGTTTTACCTAATATCAAGACCTTTTGCCTTCAGGATACTTTAACATTTGGAGGAGCAAGGCTGAGGGTCACACCTGGCAGTGCTTAGGGATAACTTCTGGTTTTGTGTTTAGGGGACTATATATGGCATCAGGGATCAAACATGGATTGACCACATGCAAGAAACAAGCTTGTTACACACTGTGCTATCTCTCCTTATCTCCATTAACTTTCTTGTAGTAATCATAGGTTTGACAATGGGTTCCAACCGATTTTTCCTCATTTTGCCTTCATTTGTGAAATATCCAAATATTTTAGTACATAATATCATTTGTACTAAATATCCAAGCCTCCAAAATATTTTTCTCACAGTAATTCAAAATCATTGATTTTTCATCCTCTTGTTTGCATTGTTTCTAGCAGAAGTTTGTTGTTATTATAATTCTCCCTTCATAGGGAGTGTGCCTTCATTTTGGGGAGAATTTTTCTCTTATCGCTGGTTTTGAGGAAACTGTTATGATTAATTTTATTATTTTATTTGGGGGCTTGGGGCCATAACCAGTAGCACCCCGGGCTTAATTTCGGCTCTGTGCTTAGGAATCATTCCTGGCTGAGCTCAGGGAATATATGAGGTGCTGGAGATCAAACTCAGATTAGCCAATTGCAAGGCAAAAAACTCTATGCTGAACTGTCTCTCCAGCCACAATTGTGATTAACTTTAACGTATTTCTCTTTATCCTTATAATGTCTTCATTTCTTTTTCTTAACCCACAGAATACACTTCTAGTAACTGTTCTCATGTCTGATGCTGATTCTAATACGTGTCCATGTGAGGTGTGTTTAATGGATTGGTTCTTTTCCTTCTTATAGATCCCATTTTCATTTTTTGTGTTTGCCTATAATTGTATACCAGACATAGTGAATTTTAATTTTGTTGAGTGTTGGATATTTCTCTCATAAATATCCTTAGGATTTTGGTGGTAGGGTGTAAAGGCAGGGCTAGAAAGGAAAATACAGTTAAGTTTACCAGAAAAATAGGAAACTTTTGTTAACTCTAACTTTTGTTAGAGTTTAGTTGACATGGTTATAATAGTGTTAAAAGTTTATGATTTTAATATACACTTTTGCCATTACCTAAGTGCCCAAGACTCATCATCACTGTCCTTAGGTTACTTTTAGCCTGATTGTTTATTCCCCAACCCTATCCTTAACCCTACCTTTACCAAAACTGTTTAGAAATCTGGGTTTTGTAATCCAACACCAGGTGTTTGGCATTGTTCAACATTGTTCATCCCCTTGTTTTGTTTCTATATATATTACAAGTGAGTGAAATCACGCTTTTTCCTTCTCTCTTTGACATATTTCACTTATGATACCCTAAAGATCCATCCAAGTTGCAAAATTTCCTCTTTTTTATTGATAAGTAGTATTCCATTCTGTATGTATACAGTCCTTTATCCATTCATCTGCTGTGACACATTTGGGCTATTTCTTGAAAACAATTTGATTTTTCAGATCTAGAGTTTACTAGAGCAGAGGCAGTAGCAGAGCAAACTCCATCTAGAGTTAATTATTCTTCACTCAAAGCCTGGCAAGCTACCCGTGACATATTCAATATGCCAAACACAGTAACAAGTCTCAAAATGGAGACGTTACTGGGCCCACTTGAGCAAATCGATGAACAATGGGAGGACAATGTTTTTTTGTTGTTGTTGCTGTTTGTTTTTTGTTGTTTTATACTATACTATACACCTTTTTTAGTTATCTATTCAATGCCCCCAAGTACCATAAGATTTCCTGATTTTTGTCAGTGGAAACAGGCACTGTTCTTGGTTCTGTGAATTAGGCACTGTGTGACTCTTTCTCATCTTTTTCAATTGTTTTTTTCCCCCTCCAACTCTTCTATTTGGTATTCCCCTAAGTCTGGAGCATTATTCTCAATTTTGGCTCATTGGCTCAGTAATAAACTGTCTATCAGGATCTGATACTTATTCTAGGTATCAGACAGTATCAGAGTTCAGTGTCTGAGAGGTAGCACAGTGTGCAGGGCCTTTGCCTTGCACATGACTGACTCAGGTTTAATCTCAAATATCCCATATGATCTACCTCCAAACTGCCAGGAGTAATTCCTGAGTGCAGAGAAACCCCTGAGCATTGCCGGGAGTGACCCCCCACCCCCAATCCAAAAAAACAAACAAAAAAAATTGAGTTCAAACCATTAGTAATGGTTTAGTGGGAGAGAAAACCCCACCCAGTCTGTGACCAGGGGTGTCAGAAGTGAGGGATTCTGTGTGAAACTATGGGCATAAAATAGAGAAGGAAGGATTGAAGTTTTCCTAACATAGACACCACTCAGAATGCTGGAAGTCAAAAGATTAGCAATCCGTATTTCTTCTTAAAGAACAGTGTTGTGGTGGGTGAAGATAAGTGACCAATTACAATAATGTGAATGATAGATGATAAGTAGAACAAAGCAAAGGTCACTATCTAAAATCTGGAGTAGCCATACATTCTTTGAGAGGTTTGTTTATCTTTCAAAACCACTGATAGGCTCTTGGGGCAGAGTAGTGGTAACGGCCTTCACCTCACACAATTCCTGACAATATGAGTTGTAGAAGGAAAACACACACTTATAAAATCAATCCTGCATTCTGATTGCAGCTCTGTCTTTGACAAGCTATGTAAGATAATCAACAGGTATTTCAGCTTTCTGTGCCTCAGTTTACACACTTTACTTGTTTACACTTTAGTGTGACTGTTGCTAACTGTTCTGCCTATCTCACTGAGTTGTTGAAAGCTCAAAAGGTGATTTTTAAGAATTAATAGTACGTTTCCTCTTTCAAGCCCTTGTTCTCCCTTGAACACATCTTTGCTTGTTTTTTCCACTCTGGAGAGCCTGTGTTCTCCCCTGAACATGTTTTCCTCTCTTTCTCTTTCCTCAAAGGCTAAGTAAATTTCATTCAATAAAAAAACTATTTTGCTTCACACACACCATTTAAATTAAATAAAAATTAATTGAAAAGAACCCAGCAAGATAAAATATACAATTATAAGCCTTATTTTTAAATGTTCATTGAGTTTAAGATTGATGTCTATCCAGTACTTCACATAAGTACTGGATAACCCTTCTCTATTCTTTTTAAAGTGGTGGTGGGGGAGGCCAAGTTCAGGCCTTTTATTGTTGACACTGTTCCAGTTTAAAGTAGAGAAGGAAAGCATTCTGGGTGGGTTTCAACCATCCGTCCCAGACAGGCTTCTATTTCTGGGGTCTCATGGGTAGGTTTGGACTACACACCAAGGTTCTCAGAGCTAACTCCTGGCTTGGAGCTCAGGGATTACTCCTGGTGGGGCTGAACCCCAGAATCATTTTTATAAGTTTCCAAAAAAAAAAAATCACCCCAAAGAGCTAACTCCTGGCTTGGAGCTCAGGGATCACTCCTGGTGGGGCTGAACCCCAGAATCATTTTTATAAGTTTCCAAAAAAAATCACCCCAAAGAGCTAACTCCTGGCTTGGAGCTCAGGGATCACTCCTGGTGGGGCTGAACCCCAGAATAATTTTTATAAGTTTCCAAAAAAAAAAAATAAATCACCCCAAAGAGCTAACTCCTGGCTTGGAGCTCAGGGATCACTCCTGGTGGGGCTGAACCCCAGAATCATTTTTATAAGTTTCCAAAAAAAAAAAAATCACCCCAAAGAGTTAACTCCTGGCTTGGAGCTCAGGAATCACTCCTGGTGGGGCTTGAACCCCAGGATCATTTTTATAAGTTTCCAAAATAAAAAAAAAATTTTAAAAAAGAAAAAAAATCACCCCAAAGTACAATCTCTTTAAAGCCCAGGTCCTGGAAAACTACACCTTCGGATGTCCAGGCGAGTCCAGAGACCAAAGTCCGGGCCACCTTTACTCGGGAAGCCCCGCCTCCCGACCGGCTTCCGCTCGGCCCCGCCCCCGGTCCGTCACCTCTCGCGGGATCTCTCGAGAGGACCGATGGGGTCACGACCCATCATGGCGGCGGAAGAGGCGGATGTGGATATCGAAGGGGACGTGGTGCCAGCGGCCTCCCAGTCCGGGTGAGGCGGAGAGACCGGGTTGCGCGGGGTCGGGAAGGGCCGCGCGGCGAGGCCCGTCCTCTGGAAAGGGCCGCGGTTCCGGCCGAGGACCTGGGGGAGCGGGAGCCGGTCTGCCGGCCCGTGGGCTCCCGGAGGCCCGGGCCCGCCGCGCATCCCGACCGCCGGCTGCTGGGTCCGCGCTCGCGCCAGGTGCCCGTTTTTCCCGAGTACGGCCCGGGCGCCGACAAGGTCCAACCCCCTCCCCGACAGGTCTCCTCGCCCGTTTCCTGCACCCCAGACCCTGCCTCCTCCCCCCTTGCCTGACAGCCACCGGAACTGGGCGGCTTCTCTGCACGGTACCTGAGCTCGGGGCTCCCTCCTGCATCGCCCACACGTGCAGTTGACCTTGGGGAGCTCCTTGGTCTCCAGCCTGGCCCCAAGTTTCCCGCCTCCACGAGCGCCTGGAAAACTTTCCTCCAGGGCTGCGGGCTTTGCAAAGAACGGAGCGGCTTTCAGAGCGGGCAGCCCTGGCGGTGCGATCGATCGTGGGCTGGACAGCATCACCCGTGCCCCCGATCATGCTCCTGAGCTCAAGGTGGCAGTGGTGCCCGCCCAGAGAAAGAATTCCAACACCACATCCCTCACCCAGTGTGCCCGACTCCGGCCCCAAAGAATCCCGGCGCCCCTCTCTCCTGACACCCTCCTCCCCAAGTCAGTGTTGTAGACCACTTCTCCCGTTGTGTTGCCTTTGGACCTTTTTTGCTGTTACGTTGCTGTGTATTTTGACTCCCTTGCTGTGTATCTCTTAAGTCCCGTATGTGAGAGATCATTCTGTGTGTCTGTCCCTCTCCTGACTTCACTCAGTGGGACATCCTCTGGTTCCGTCCATGGAACAGCAGATTGCATCATTTTGTTCTTAGTTAGAGCTGCGTAGTATTCCATTGTGTATCTTTACTGCAGCTTCTTGACCATTCCTGTGCAGTTTGGGCACTTGGGTTGTTTCCGTATCTTGACTATTATACTAAGTGTGGCCATGAGTGTGGGTGTACACATGCCCATATTGCCTGCTATAGAGGAGGCTGAACCAGGTGACGTTCCCTCCAACAGGGAATGAGGGTACCCTACCAACTGCGGTTGACTTTTTGATGTGTTTTCACTGCCGTGAGATGATTTTTCAGTGTTGTTTTGATTTGCACTTCCCTGATCATGAGTGATGATGAGATTTTGTAAATATTCCTATAGGCCATCTGTATGTCTTCTTTAGAAAAGTGCCTGTTCATCTTTTCTCCCATTTTTGGATGACTTAGTTGGATTTTTCTGTTGAGTTTTTGTGAGTGCTTGATAGATCTTGGCTATTAACCTTATATCTGATGATGTATTGTGTGCAGATATTTTCTTCCGTTCGATAGGATATCTTTTTATTATTGTTTGAGTTTCTTTTGCTGTGCATAAACTTTTTATTTGAGGGAGGTTACAGACCATTTTAAAATTCTCCTTCCAGAATCTCCTTTTAAGATTGGACAAGAATGATCCATTCTTAGGTCAGAAGTCAGAAAGCTCAAGTTCAAAACAGCCAGCAGCATAGCTTGTAGCGGAATAAATTCATCAGAATTCAAGCAGGGGAACCACGTTCCATGGACAGTTTGGGGATGGCAAATTCATACAGTTTAACCTATCACTTCTGTCAGTTGTGGAATGTGTTAGGCCTGCTCCTGAGATGAATAAAGAACCTCTAATAACAACCATCTTCCATATTTGTGTGGATTATCTTGACCAACTACTTTTGCATGTGTGTTTTATTTTCCCCCATAAGTCTCTAGGAGAAATGGGCAGAGATGAGTAGTTGGGAGACATACGAGTTTTCTTGGAAATAGGAAAAATCATCCGAGACCATTAAACCCCTTTCTATAGATTTGTCTTTGTTTTTCTGATTGTTTAATTTTTCTCTCTTTGAAATGTTAGGTTGGACCATGTGAAATTTTCCAGTTTTCAACCTTTTTTTTTTCAACCTACGAAAATGGAAGTTTCATAATAGATGCTGTTTCCTAATTCTTTCACCAGCCCAAATTTCTCTTCTGAGCTTCAATTCAAACCCACTTATTTATCTCTGTACCTGTATGTAATTCTCTGCATCTCTCCACCTTTACCTTCTGGAGGTACCTAAGACTCTGCTCAACAAACTTTCCTCACTCAACAAGCCCCTCCAAGTTTCCCACTTACTTAAATAGCACCCACCCATAGGAGGTATAGACCTAGACTTGAATTACTATTACTTACAGATTCTGACACCTTTTCACGATCACGATCACGACCACCCTGTTGTTCGTCGATTGCCTCGAGCAGGTGCCAGTAACGTCTTCTTCGTCCTAGCCCTGAGATTTTTTTTTTTTTAAGTGCCATATTCAAGGCTTTTTCAGGGTTAGGAGAATGAGACCCATCATTGTTACTGGTATTTGGCATATTGGGTATACCACGGGGAGTTTGCCAGACTCTGCCGTGTGGGCATGTTACATTTGGTAGCCTGCCAGTTTGACTGAATTAGGAATGAGATGACAAGATGTCCGGGAGCTGAGTGTGATAATCTCTGGATCCTGGCCGTTGTTGGAGTTACACGGCAGTTGGTGGGTGTAACTGTCTAGTTACTGGCAGGTCCAGTCCCAAACTGTACAGGCTTGGAGATCTCAGCCCCGGGTCCCACACACCTGGGTTCCTCTGTCAGTTCTTTTATGCGTGAGGCTCATCCAAGTGTGTGGAGAGTGCTCCCAGCATGGCCTTGGCTGGGCCTCGGTGGTCTTCAGCTGTTGGGCCCTGGTGGAGACAGTCAGGCATAGGTTAGGAGACTCTGTCTTGTTCCCTCCCAGGAGCTGAGTGTGATGATCTCTGGATCCTGGCCGTTGTTGGAGTTACACGGCAGTTGGTGGGTGTAACTGTCTAGTTACTGGCAGGTCCAGTCCCAAACTGTACAGGCTTGGAGATCTCAGCCCCGGGTCCCACACACCTGGGTTCCTCTGTCAGTTCTTTTATGCGTGAGGCTCATCCATGTGTGTGGAGAGTGCTCCCAGCATGGCCTTGGCTGGGCCTCGGTGGTCTTCAGCTGTTGGGCCCTGGTGGAGACAGTCAGGCATAGGGTAGGAGACTCTGTCTTGTTCTCTCCCAGGAGCTGAGTGTGATGATCTCTGGATCCTGGCCGTTGTTGGAGTTACCTTTTACTGATGTTAATTTAGGGTTTGTTGATTTAAAGTATCCTTTCAAATGCCTTCATTTCTTAAAAAACCTTATTCCCAGTGTGGTAGGGACTTGTTTGTTGTTTAGTGTTTACTATTACTCTCTAGTGTTTTATGTTATTGGGGTTACAGTTACTCCCCGGTGTCTAAATGATCACTAAATGATAACTGCTACTGGTCTCTTTGCCCCCTCCCCACTCTTTCCTATTGCTTCTTGCAATACAAGTATGTTTCCTTATATCCGGATATGATTATGTTAAGTAAGTAAGTAAAGGCCCTCCCATTGATCATCGATTTGCTCGAGCGGGCCCAGTAACATCTCCATTGGAGACTTTGTTGTTACTGTGTTTGGCATATCGAATACGTCACGGGGAGCTTGCCAGGCTCTGCCGTGCGGGCGAGATACTCTCTGTAGCTTGCCAGGCTCTCCGAGAGGGGCGGAGGAATCGAACTCGGGTTGGCCATGTTGGCTGCGTGCAAGGCAAACGCCCTACCGCTGTGCTATCGCTCCAGCCCATGATTATACCTCTCAATTTCCAAATGGTTTTATAAGAAAATCCCCATTTTCTTAACACCCATCTTGTTTTGCATGGGCGGACAGAGGTAGACACTCTTTCAGTCATTCAGCACATACTGGTGAAACTTTTCTATTTTTATATGCTAAAGTCTGCATTTATTGAAGTTATCAACTAAGTACTTCTTTTATAGACTTAATATTCTTATTGGCTGAGACAGACAAAAAAGAAAGATGAAACCTTACATGTATATGCCCAATGGAGAGAGTGGAAAATGATAGAAAGTGTATATATATATAGATACATATATTACTTTGTCATATACACACATATATGCCCAGTGGAGATAGTTGATAGGAAATGATAAAGCAGGGTAGGTGGATAACTTGTTAGCTTTTTATCTTGTGTATTGGAAGTTGGAGGTCTGGAGCTAGAGTCTAGCTAGTTTTATTGACTAAGCTCATGCTTTGTAGGCAGAAAGCCCAGGTTTCCTTCCCAACCCGGTTGGTGGTGGAAGGACAGGATTTTGAAAAGCCTGATCTGCAACAGAATTGGCTATGCTTTCAATTGTGTCCTGAGAGGCAGAAGTGGGGGGAGGGACCGGCTAATTTCTGCTTTGGGCAGTTAGAGGGCTAGCGATGATACTGACCAACCTAGGCTGATAGGAGAGGAAAGCCTTAAACTTGTGCGTTTGTGAGATCTAATGGGAATTCCAGTAGATGGCCAGATGTGTGCACTAGAGGTGTGGATGTTGTGTTTCCTTTTTCGAAGGAATGCTTCAAAAAAGATTACTGCAGTCCGTGCCAGAACCACAGTGCATCAGGTTGAATGCTTTCCTTGCATTTCCTGGGTTTGATACCCAGCATCCCATAGGAACCCCTAAATCTGCCAGGAATAGTGAGCACTGCTGGGTATGTCACCCCCCCCGCAAAAAAAATTTCTGCAGTCAATTTAAAAGTACACATTTGGCAGATGCAGTGAGTTGAGCAAAGATTTCCTTCTGCATATACAAGGCTCAGTATCCTTATTTAGTCTTTCTTCTTTATCCTTATATAGTCTTCCCAATCATATTTCATACTTGGCAGATATGAAAGTTAAACCCTTGGGGGCTGGAGCGATAGCACAGCGGGTAGGGCATTTGCCTAGCATGCAGCCTACAGGTAGAATTCCCAGCATCCCATATGGTCACCCGAGCACTGCCAGGAGTAATGCCTGAGTGCATGAGCCAGGAGTAACGCCTGTGCATCGCTTGGTGTGACCCCCCCCCAAAAAAAAGAAAGAAAATGAAAGTTAAGCCTTTTTGTCATTGACAGTTGAGAGGAATTACTGCTTTTAGTTCACTGTAGATATTCTGTTAGCCTCATAACTTATTTTCAGTACTGTAAGGCTGATTGAAAATATAAAGTATAAATCTATAGGTAGTTCATATAAGCTCTCATATAGTACAGAAGTAGAAAAAATTCCTAATTAGGTCTAGGAATTAGGTTTAGGAAATTTTTAATTTTTTAAGACAGACTAAAGCAAATACTAAACTTAATTTTATGATAAAATGAGCCTCCCCAAAGTTAATGGTTTATTTTTTTTTGCATGTGAAATGATTGATGTGATTTTAAAGAGAATTCTTGTTCAGTGAAAGAAGTGAGAGTTAGCAAGATTTAATACCCAGTGGACATAGAAAGGGCCCCCAAATAGCCAAGTTAATTTTTATAGTATAAATGAATTTCATATTTGGATACCTCTTTATAAGACTCATTCAAAGTCATAAATGTTGGTTTGTGGGTATAGAGAATGTTGTGTTACTCTTTCAGAGGAATTTTTTTCCTCATGAGGTTTTTTTGTTCTTGGGAATTAAAATTACTAAACTGTCAGACTTGATTTTTATCATTAGAGATAAGATGACTTAAAGACTGTATGTATTTCACACACACCAAAGAGATGGAGCAAGCATTTCTGTACTGTGAGCTCTCGTTAAGAGAAGGAAACTAAATACTTGACATATGTACCCTGCCGATCACTGTACTGTAAATTATATTCATTAATTGGTATAATAACACTTTTTTCCACTTCATATTACAGAAGTGATGAGACTACAGCATCTGTTTTACAAGACCATTATCTTGATTCATCATGGAGAACTGAGAATAGCCTAATTGTAAGTATTTTGTGGAAATACTAGGCACTTCCCGCTTTTTTATTCATTGGCCAGAATACCCTTTTTTAGATTCTTATACGCTGGGGGAGTGGGTGCCCTTGCCAAAAGGATCAGTGCTTGAACCCAGTGATGCATTGCTGGGGACAACCTACAGCACCTAGCTGTATTCCTGGGTCCTCCAGGGCTCTGTCCAGTGGTGCTGGGGGACGGAGCCTGTGGTGCCAGGAATTGAATTTGAGTTCTTGCGGAGTGTGAGGCAGGTACCCCTGACCTCTGAGCCTACCCTACTCAGAGAACCTCTTTTTTTCACTTTGGTACTATTTCTCAGCAGTCATAAAGATCATATTTGAAACATTTTTCTTCAAAACCAGCGCAGAAAAAATTGGGCTTGTTTTGACTTTGAAAACTGGCCTGTTGGGAAACTCTTTCGGAGCCAACTTGATCTAGATACAAATCCTGCTCTGCCACTGCAGCAAATTTGTGAACATTCATTTTCTCTTAATTAGAGGGTATCATCTTGAAGTTTATTTCTTTAGTAGTTATTTACTCTTTATTGTGTGCCAGGCGCTTAGTACTCCAGGTTTGTGGAATACAGCTATGATCAAAATAGGCATGGTTCTGATCAAGGAACTTGTTCTCTGTAGGGGACTCAGGTAAATAGCAAGTAGGCATACCCGAATTATGTGTCTTGGACATTATATATTGTCAAATAATAGGGTGAGGAACCTTCTTCTGATAAAGCTGTCAGTGTGGGGTCTGTCTGGAGCGATAGGACAGTGGGTAGGGCGTTTGTCTTGCACACGGCCGACCCAGGTTCAACTCCCAGCATCCCATATAGTCCCCTGAGCACTGCCAGGAGTAATTCCTGAGTGCAAAGCCAAGAGTAACCCCTGTGCATTGCTGGGTGTGATCCAAAAAGCAAAAAAAAAAAAAAAAAAAAAAAAAGTTGTCAGTGAGAGAAATGAAAGTGGTGACATTTGAGTTGAAAAATAAGAGACCAGAGAGGTATATTTGTCCCTGGGTTGCATGCTTTGCTTGTGGGAGTCCTGGGTTTGATTTTTTTGACACTACGTTGAGCACTGAACTGGGAGTATCCTCAAGCATTACAGGTAGTAGTCCAAAAACTTATAATAATAAAAGGAGCAGATCGGAGCCAGAAATATAGTACAGTGAGCACGGCACTTGCCTTGTACGCCGACCTGGGTTCAGTAGAACCAGACTTCAGCCCCGAACATAGCTGGGTGTAGCCCAAAAAAATTAAAAAAAAAAAAAAGGAGTGGATATGTGAAGAATTGAGAAAATACTCTAAGCAGTATAGAACTGCATGTTAAAAATGCTATGGGTGTTGAAGGAGAAGGAAAGAACCCAGAATGATCCATGGATTTCTAACTGGAGTGTCCCAGGTACCACTTCTGAAGTTAAGAAATGGAGAGAAACAAGTAAACAGATGTGATGGTAAATTTTGCTTTGAATGTGCTGTTTAACAAGCCTACTAGAATCCCAGATGGAAACCTTGAATGGTAGTTGATTAGAACATTCTAGAAATATAGAAAGAAACTGAGATAAAGAGGTCCAACTGTAAGTTTTTTTTTTTTAAAGGGGGCTAGGGGTTGGGGTGCACATGCAAGGTGCTTAGGGCTAATTCCTGATTTTGAGCTCAGGCGTCACTCCTGACAGGGCATGGTTGACTGATCAGATATGGTGCCAAGGATCAAACCCAGGTTGGCCTCATGCAAGGAAAGTGTTTGACCTGCTGTAGTTATTCCAGCCTCCAACCTTGAGTTCTGAGAATTGAAAATGAGTATGATGATTAAAGGAAGATTGTCACCTGAGGAAAAAAGAGATTATGGTGAATTTTGAAAGTAGGTGAACTATCTTGCAGAATATGTGATAGTTGTTAGTTCCCCCTGCATGATAGCCAGTATTTATCATAGGTAGGAGCTTGAGCCCTGGAATGCAGCATACTCGAGGGTGAAATCTCTCCTCTTTCACTTAAAATGCTCTCAGTGCTGTTGTGTTACTTGTGAAGTAATGCTATCTTGGGTTATTTGGGAATCAAAGATAGTTCTGTGTGCTCAGCAAATAATTGCTGTTACTATAATGACTGTGTTCTGTTTTTTCACTTTAAAATAAAAGATGATTTTTAAAAGCAGTGAAAAGAAAAATACTCTCTTTTATTTAGCCGTGGACTCTGGATAGCACCATCAGCGAAGAAAACAGAGCTGTCATTGAGAAGATGTTACTGGAAGAAGAGTATCCTTTAATGGTCTTGAGGAAAGTAAAGATTTCAGGGGCAAAAAGTCTATGAACGTGGGGCCCGAGAGATAGTACGTAGGTAAGGTGCTTGCCGTGCATTTGGCCAGCCTGGATTCCATCTCCAACATGCCATATGGTCCTCTGAGCACCGCTAGGAGTAATTCACCAACATTTCATCCGAATCTCTGTATTAAAGTAGTTAATAACTTTGAGCTGTTCTGTTACCTTTAGAAATATCCAGAGGTATACTCCCAGATTATCCTGGATAACCAGTCATATTTCTCTATTACATTCTCTCCGTATTTTAGGAAAAATTATTTAAATGAAACTAGCATTTCTAGTTTTCCACCAGATATTAAAAAATATTCACATTTAAAATAAATAAATAAATATATTTCTTAGCTACTTCTTATAAGGAAGACAAGGGAAACTAGTATTTATGTAGTACATATTTTGTGCAAACGCTATGCTGTTTGATTTCATATGTAACAGTCCTTATAACTGTTCTATAAATATTTTCATTTTTGCAAATATGGGTAGAACTTTGAGAAAAGTGTTTCAACTGTAATTCAAGTGTCACTTTTAGTAATATATGAGTGCCTGTTTATAAAAGTTGCATTTACATATAATTTTTTTTTACATTTCCTTAATGATTGAACAGATATTATTTATCTAAAAAATCACTTCCAGAGAAATTCTGGCTTGATCAAAAAGAAGATGAGAAGAAATATACAAAAAGGTAAATCAGTTCATAAATCTTTAAGGTCTAAATTGTATTTTTTTAAATCTCTGTAAACTTTATTTTCTTTTTTACATGTCTGGTTTGCAGTGAACACCAAAAATCATGTAGGTGTTTTTGTTGTATTTTATTTAGTACAAATTATCAAAGGGTTAAATGAAAAAAATATAGTTGGACTATGGAAAAATACCCTTGTTCAATACAAAAAAATATAAACTCTAATTTATGAATTTGTGATTTTAATTGAATTTATATTCAATTATAGGTCAATACAAAAATATAAATCAAAATTTTTTTTTGTAGACTTTGGAGTCTCACAACATGAATTTATTTTGTGGCCCTGCATAGGCAGTTCTGTCAAATTTTGGCAAAGGTGGTTTCTTAGAAATTTGCAGATATTTCAAAAGGTGACTTTTTAGGAATTAACTCAGTTTCTCTTACTTTGTCCATTGACTTTAGTTTTATTTCTTATTTTAAATAATTTTTTTTAAGTTGAATTACAGTGATAGTTATAAAATTGTTTATGGTTGGGTTTGAGTTATGCAATGTTCCAATACCCACTCCTTCACCAGTGTACATTTCCCACCATCAGTGTCTCCAGTTTCCCTCCCGCCCCACTTCAGTTCCCACCGCCCCTTTCTTCCCACCTCCCATCCCTCTCTTCTTTTGGGCATTATGGTTTGCAATAGAACTACTGAAAGGTTATGTTTATCCCTTTACCTACTTTCAACACTCACTTCTTGTCCAAAGTGATCATTTCTAGCTATCATTTTGATTCCTTCTCTATCTTAACTGCCCTTTGTCCCCCACAACACACCTGTGGCAAGTTTCCAACCCTGACCAGTCCTTGTGGCCTCTGTTTTACGTTTTATCTGGCCTTGGATATTAGTCTTGTACTACTTGTTTTTTTTAAATATCCCACAAATGAATAGTCATTCTATATCTGTCCCTCTCCTGACTCATTTTATTCAGCATGATAACTCTCCATGTCCATTCATTTATAAGAAAATCTCATGACTTCCTATTTCCTAACAGCTGCATAGTATTTCATTGTATAGATGTTTTACAGTTTCTTGATCCAGTTGTTGTTCTCAGGCACTCAGGCTGTTTCCAGATTCTGATGTTGTAACAGTGCTGCAATGAATATAGAAGTGCAGATGGTGTTTCTGCTATGTGGTTTTGGGACGCTGGGATATATCCCCAGAAGTGGTATTGCTGAGTCAAGTGGGAGCTCAGTTTCTAGGTTTTTGAGGAATATCCATAGTGTTTTTCCAAAACGGCTGGACCACTAGACATTCCCACCAACAATGAATGTGAGTTCCTTTCTCCCCACATCCACGCCAGCACTGGTGGTTTTTGTTCTTTTGGATGTGTGCCAGTTTCTGTGGTGTGAGATGATACCTTGTTTGGATTTGCATCTCTTTGGTGATTAGTGGTATAGAGCATTTTTTCATGCGCCTTTTGGCCATTTGAATTTCTTCTTTGAGGAAGTTTCTGTTCATTTTCTTTTCCTTTTTTTTTTGATGGAGTTGTATTTTTTCTTGTAAAGTTCTACAAGTGCCTTCTTTATCTTTGATATTAAACCCCTTATCAAATGGGTATTGATTAAATTTTTTTCCCGTTCTGTGGACTGCCGTATCTTTGATATTAAACCCCTTACCAAATGGGTATTGGGTAAATAATTTTTCTCATTCTGTGGGCTGCCATTGTATCTTGGTCACTGTTTCTTTTGAGGTGCAGAAGCTTCTTTGTTAATGTAGTCCCATTTGTTCATCTTTGCTTCTACTTGCTTGGTCAGCCTTTAGCTTCAGTGTCTTGGAGAGTTTTGCATACATTTTTCTCCAAGTATCTTATGGATTCAGGTTGACTTCAGTAGTTTTAAACAAAAATATAATTTGAATTTTTTGCTTTCAGAAATTAGAGAAATTACTAAATATTTTGCTCGAGCGGGCCCACAGCGGGTAGGGCGTTTGCCTTACAAGCCGCCAACATGACCGACCCGAGTTCGATTCCTCCGCCCCTCTCGGAGAGCCCGGCAAGCTACCGAGAGTATTCGATATGCCAGACACAGTAACAACAAAGTCTCCAATGGAGACGTTACTGGGCCCGCTCGAGCAAATCGACGATCAACGGGAGGGCCTTTACCTTACCTTACCTTACTAAATATTTTATAAGCACACTTTGACCTGTGATAAAAAAAATTGATGATATTTTGTGTTTATAAACTTGTAAGTTTATGGTCCCCCATGTAAGGATATTTTATATAAGTGTGTGTGTGTGTGTGTTTTAAATTTAGTCACCTTGAAATTATAAAGTTATTCATGATTGGGCTCCAGGCACAAAATGTTTGAACACCTGTTCCTTCACCAGTGTCCGCTTCTTTCCATCATTGTACTCTCCCCAGTTCCCCATTTTGCCTTCCATCCTGTCAGTCTGAAAAAAGGCGAGGGACTTTTTTGTTTTTGCACTGTGCTTTATAATACCATTATGGATGAGGTTTCATGCATAACACTTTACCCCCTGTCAGCAGCACCTCCTCCTGGTTGAGCAATCTCCTCTGTCATAGTTGTTCTCCCCTTATCCTGTCCACCATCCCTGCTTTCTCTCTCTCCTTCCCCTCCATGTGGCATCTTAAAAGACTCAATGTATAGGTTTATACTTGCTAAAAACTCGTTGAGTACTAAGTAAACTTTGGCTTTTATCTTTTGCTGAATAAATAATAAAAACGAAGTTAGTGGAAAGATTAATGGCTTACTGAACTAAGCTACTGAACTTAGTACCACAGTTGTGTGTTTGTTTTTTTAATTTTTCTGAATTGATTTTTACATGAATTTGTATGGAAGAACCAGGAAAATAATATTCCCGGAACTAGTTTAAACTGGACATGCTTTTCAGGAGTTAGAAATATATTAGTTTTTGCTATTTTGTTTCCAGCCTATGTATGCCTATTGATAGTCACTTTGTTTTCCTTTGAGTATCTCGCAGGCATGGCAAAGCCTGTCAAGTTACCCATGACTTGACATATTCCATATGTGAGACAGAGTAACAAGTCTCACAATGTTACTGGGCCCACTGGAGCAAATCGATGAACAACAGGAGAACAGTGACAGTGACAGTCTTTTAATGTTAACTTCTGTGAGACTCAGGGACTTTTTTTTTTTTTAATTTTATTGAATCACCGTGAGATAGTTACAAGCTTTCATGTTTGGGTTATAATCACACAATGATCAAACCACTCATCCCTCCATTAGTGCACATTCCCCACCACCAGTATCCCTGGTATACCCCCTCTTTCCCACCCTCTCCCTGCCCTCAGGGCAGACAATATTCCCCATACTCTCCCTCTACTTTTAGGCATTATGGTTTGCAGTACAGACACTGAGAGGTTACCATGTTTGATCCTTATCTACTTTCTGCACACATCTCCCATCCCAATTCAGGGATTGTTGGGGAACAGTTTTCCCCACAACGGTGCCTGGACATGTTGCGCGCTGAGTCCAGGCAGGTGCGGGGCGAAGGTTAACGGGCGCGCGGAGAAACACCCTCCGGGTGTTGACTGTTGATGGCTGTTGACTTTATTGCCAGATATACACATATTTTATAGAGGGTTTCAGCTTACAAGAAAGTCCAATCACATGAAGTTTAGCATTATTGGCCTGTCACCGCTCCTTCCCTGCCATGCCCCGGTCCAATCCCAGTCAATGCTGGAAGCTGCAGTTAGGGTAACTTGCTAAGCTTATATGACAGTTTCTGTGTCTAGGGCTCATGTGATTAGAAGGTCGAGAGAGGCTCAAGGCCGAACACCTGGTGCTGGCTGACACCCTGATCTTGCCAACTTTGCCCAGATAATTCCGTCTTGCAAGGCTTTGTTTCTGGGCTTCTTTGCAAGGTCAGGTCTTATCAGCACCAGTGTCTTGTCACCCTGCTCCACAAGGGACCTTTTGGGATTCCTGTAATTCTGAGCTCAGGAAGTCATTCTGAGTCTGGGTAAATCAGTCTCTCAGGTAGAGGCTGTGGTCTTGGGTTTTTTTTCAGCCTAAAGTGTTGAATTTAAGTCATGGCTCTTTATAAACTGTAGCTGCAGAAGTGGAAAATGTTTAATTTCAGAATTGTTTTGCAGCTCTCTTTTTTCTTTCAGGGTACACTCTCCTACAAAACCAGCCAGTCACTCAGTAAAGTGGACAATAGAAGAAAAAGAACTGTTTGAACAAGGGCTGGTAAATAGAGCAATTTTTAATTTATAGTACAATAATTCTAGAATCAAATAATGTAAATTAGTTTGTAGTGATGAAATTTCTAATTTAATTACTGTGAATGTACCAGTCGGTTTTTGGATCAGTTATTTTAGATGTCATTTTGGCGGCGGTTATTAAACTCCAAGAAATTTAGATATATTTGTATGTATGATACCAGTTACTTGTGTTAAAAGGGAAAAGTCATTATTTGATGTATTCTCTTTCATTTTTAAAAAATAATTTGTATTTTTGAAACTGCCTAGATCATTAGCTGGGTTCTTTTTTATTAAAATCTTTGGCATTGTGCACAGTCGATAAATATTTTAGTGTAATTAAAGACTGCAGTCATTTATTTTGCATTAATGTTTCACTGAGATCTATTTAAATGTCTACACACTAATGGAAACTATGTCAGTTTGTATTTTAAAAATATTTCTTAAAATGAAGGAATCATTAACAAAAACTTAAGCTTTTAAAAAAAACTATCCAGAGCAGTTTGTATCTTTTTCTATAAAGGTTTGATATAACCAGTATTATGTTAATAAATTGTGAAATTATGTATATGCATATATTTGGAGACTATATTATGTCTATGTAGGATTTTTGAATGTTTATTGAAATAGCATTGTTTATACTTCTTATGATGAGAAATAAAATATTTCTATATTTTTATTGTTTGTATTTTTATAGTTATTACTGTCTTGTCTATATATTCCGTGATATTTCTGTATAAACATAAACTATACTGAGGCCTTTATCTTTTCTTGGGGTTTTCTTTTCTCCCTCCTTTACTAGTGGGTTTATATTAGTGTTTCAGTCATTTGACTTTATTAACCAATCATTTATACTAGATTGTTGATACTTTGGTGTTTTCCCTTATTAAAGACTGGCTATGTGTAGATTTAGACTATGTTTGCCATTGGTGGTCATTGTAGGAACTGTAATTGCATGGTTCAAATTTAGAAAATATCAAAAGTAGTAAATTATTTGGTCTTTTGTGCCCATTTCAGTTGTTTGCGTAAGCTAAACAATTTCTAAATTGTATACTTCTAGAGGTATTTTGTGTCTATATAAGCAAATGTATTATATTCACAAATCGTTTCTTTTATAAACTCTGACATGAGAAGCTTGAAACTATTGTCTGTATTCCAAAATTCAGTTCCCACCCATTGATATTTCTGGCTTATTAGAGTCATTTCCACCAGGCTTCAGAGAAAGGAATTATATGGTATTGAATGATTTTCTCCTTTTTTTCTTAGATAGACATAGAGTCATTTTGATCCATCTTGGCTAATGTTTTCTTTGCTTCTTTTGTTAGCGTTCTCTGCCCAATTTTCTTTCTTAGTAGCTATCCCAGCAATCACAATGAGTTAATTTAGATCTTTTTTCTCCAAAAGTGTTATTTGTTTGCCTCATCCTACAATAAAGATAGATAATTCATCAGTAAGGTGATCTCATCTAGTGTGCATACTTAGTATAATTTTGCAGAAGTACCTTCAGTTTTACAATGTTGTCCATATGTCAGATTTTCTAAGGACTATATGAAATAGTATATAAATTAAGATTTATCACATGGGTTAGATCTTACAGGATGATTCGCTGTTAAAGGCATGGATTCCTGTCTACAAACCTCATCTCTGGATCAGCTTTCTGGAATTGGGACTTTTTGTTGTATGTCTTGGGGCTTGGGGGTTGTTTTTCCCTCAATTTATAAGAATTCTAAAAATTAAGTATTGTTGAACTACTTTAGCAAGTAGAAAGTGTCCTATGTTAGAGATATTCCAAAGGAGATTTATATAGAAAATCATAGAATTAATAGGTAAAAATCATTTTATCTTTGAAATTTTATGTATTCCTTTCTGTAATTTGAAACACTGAGCTCCCTTAAATTCAAGGTTCTTTCCACTTTTTTTATGAGACAGGCTTAAGGAGAATGTAGGTAGGCTTCTATTATGGGTTACTGGATCTGTGAGTCAGTTCTTTTTTTTTTTAATTTTTTTAATTTTTAATTTTTTTAATTTTTATTAGTGGAACACCATGAGGTACAGTTGTAGACTATAATCACTGTGATATCTGTATAGAAAAAAAGTATTTGATGTTTTGATGCGGGACATTTAATGAATAATGGAATATGAGTAAAAATACGGTATTCTGAAATTAGTGTCAGGACATAATTGATTTATATCAAAAAAATGTAAACAGCTTCTCTTTTAGAAACTTATTTTTTTAATTCCCTTAGATTTGAAATATAATTGTGCAATAATAATATTTACTATTAAATAGTACAGTGATACACATCTATTTTTAGATAGCTATTCATGCATCTAAATTGTTTTGATCAGTTTTCAAAAGTATGGATTGCAAAAGAATTTTAAGAATAATTTTGATTTTAAGAGTCTTATTTATATAGGAGACTTCATTGTGTGCGTTAGAAAATAAAGATGTGGTCTTTTTTTTTTATCATGGCAGTTGCTTGGAATATTAATGAGTAATATAATCAAAAGCTATTTCTTTTCCATTTTGATAACAGGCTAAATTTGGCCGAAGGTGGACCAAAATTGCCAAACTAATTGGAAGTCGTACTGTTTTGCAAGTGAAGAGTTATGCCAGACAGTACTTTAAAAATAAGGTAAAAAAATATAAATATCTTAGTGATTATATTATTTTGAATAAGCAAGATTCAAAGAGAAATAGTTTTATAATTCAGGTATTAAGTCTTGATGTTAAAATTTTTTTTAGTGACAGTATTTTTTGCCCATAAATTGCTCTCAGAATGTTTATTTCAAATACTTGAAACAAATCTTTAATATCTTTGTCTTAAACGTTTCATTCTCCACTTAATTTTATATAGTTAAATGGAAGAATAAAATAGTAATTGATCAGAAATAGCTTAAAGTCAAGTAGTATTACAGAGAGAAAACTTTAAAGGTCTTATTGTTTCCTGAAAGATATCTTTTCTTTCTAAATATTTGTTTTATAGCAACATAGTTATTAGAGCTTAAAGGCCATAAATGCTGGCATAAAACTTGGAACTGCAATGACATTTTTATAATTGTTTTAAGAATCACCTGAAAATTTTAAATTCAGAAAAATAACAGTTATGGCATAGTTCCTTGGTTTGTTGTACTTATATCTTAGAAACATAATTATTTGGAATATGGAAATGCATTGGATAAAATTTAATGTTTTAGTGAGTTTATTGATATTTATTCTTTTGCTTATTACATTATCAGATATTTTGTTTCTAATAGGAGCTAAGGGAAGATAATTTTATGCTTTATTTTATTAACACATAACACTAGAGCTATGTTAAGTGAATCTGCAAAAAAAATAGTTTCTTGTTTTTGTATTTAATGAAAGATTTTCATTTACTAAGATTATGAGAGATTCTTTCAAGTAATTAAAGAATTTTATTAAATTCTTTAATAAATTAGAGAATTATAAAATTTTAGCTTTAAAAACACAAAAACTTAGGGGCTAGGAAGATTACTTAAAGGGCTAGAGTGTATCCTTTGCATGCCCTAGGTTTGTGCCCCAGCTTTGGTCCCTGGCACTTCATGTTTCCTTGAGCACCATTCAAGAGTACCAGACTGGGAGATAGTCCCTCAGTACTGCCAAGTGTGAGCCAAGAACCAAAATTTAAGTGAAAGGTCAAATTGAGAGTCCAGAGACAGATTCCCATGTATATATTGACATCTTTGGGAAAGGAGCCAAAAAAATGAAGTGAAGTAAGGAAAATCTCTTCAATGAATGGTATTGGGAAAACTGATCAATCACATGCAAAAAAAAAAAAAAAAAGAATACCCCTTTCTAACACCATGTATAAAAGTCAAATCAAAATTGATTAAAATCTCGGGACTGGAGTGATAGACAGCGGGTAGGGCGTTTGCCTTGCATGCGGCCGACTCAGGTTCGATTCCCAGCATCCCATATGGTCTCCTGGGCACCGCCAGGAGTCATTCCTGAGTGCACAGCCAGGAGTAACCCCTGACCATCGCCAGGTGTGACCCAAAAAGCAAAAAAAAAAAAAAAAAAAGATTAAAATCTCATATCAGACCTGAATCCATAGATTATATTGAGGAAAACATAGATGTAGAGGTAGAACACTTCATGACATTAAAATTAGATTAGTGTCATGGATAAACAAATGGTTGTATCAAACTAAGAAGCTTCTGCACTCTGAAGGAAATGATGACCCCAATAAAGACACCCTGTACACTTTTGGCTTCTACTCTTCTTACAAAGGCTGATATCAGAGAATACAAAGCACTGCTGAAACTTTACTAGTGAAAAACAACCAGCCTTATCAAATATGGGGGGAAGAGATGAACAGAAACTTCTTCGAAGAAGATAAACAGGCGATCACAAGATAAATGAAAAAATGCTCTGCATCATTGATCATCAGGAAAATGCAAATTGAAACAACAATGAGGCATCATCTCACACCAGTGAGACTGGAACACATTATAGAGTAAAAAAAACAGCCAGCGATGGCAGGGCATGGCATGGATGTGGGTATAAAGGGAGCCTCATTCACTGTTGGTAGGAATGTTGACTATACAGCCTTTTGGAAGACAATAACATGCACACTTCTCAAAACACTAAAAATGAGCCTCCTGGCGTCTAGCCGAGGGGAAATGCAGGATTTAAAGGGGAAACGTGAGATTCAAAGAACAGGGAAAATGGCCAAAGGCAGCAGATACTGAGAACTGTCTTCAGTAGGAAGCTTGGCACAGGGGAGAGTGCAGAGAGCCTAGGACAGTGAGACAGGGACACATGATGGTGGAGGTTGTGGTGCTGGCGTTTTGTGTATGAAGCCCTACCAAGAACAGTTTCCAGAGTGCCTAAAATAAATTTTAGTAAGACAGTGAAAAAATAAAAGGGGCGAACCATAAAGTCAGAAATTAGTTGACATATATCAGACATTCTGAGAAATAAGCCTTTAAAATATTTCAATATTTTAGATCAGTTTTTTCTAACCTTGGTCCCCTCCGAATCTTGTTTCCTTCCCGTGGACCCTCCCACCCCCATTCTGGTTGGCCCTTAGTCTCATGCTGTGGACCCCCATTTACAGCTTTCACCAGAGATCCCCTTAGAATATACTGGTGACCCATAGAAGATTATAGGACCAAATCTTACACAATTTTGGGAAAATCTTGTATATATCTGTTATACAGCTTACAAGTCCCCAAAGAAGTGATTATTGATAGATACTATATCATATTAGAATCCAGGTCACAAATTTGGGGCTAACAATATAAGGGAAGCCAAAAGGTTAGCAGGAAAGAAAGGAGATAGTCTAAAATAACTTTCTGCAATCTTGCTAATAATTACTTGAAGTCTCATTTTATTGAAAAATCTCAGGTAAAACTTTGTATGTTTCATAAAATATTAATGTTCACCTTATTTTTTAATTTATATTTATTTCTTAATGCTGTTACTTTTTTTTAGTGAAACACCATGAGGTACAGTTGTAGATTTACAGACATTCATGCTTGGGTTTCAATCATACAATTATAGAGTATCCATCCCTCTACCAGTGTCCATTCTCTACCACCAATGAGCCCAGTGGCCCTCCCACCCCCCAACCTCATCCCCCTCTACTCCACCCTGCCTCTGTGGCAGGGCATTCCCTCTTGCTCTCTCTTTTCTTTAGGGTGTTGTAGTTTGGAATAGAGGTATTAAGTAGCCATTGTGTTTGGTCTATAGTCTACTTTCAGCACAGATCTCGCATCCCAAGCGAGTCCTCCAAACATCCTTTACTTGGTGTTCCCTTCTCTGTCTGAGCTGCCTTTTCCCCCCAGCAAGTGCTGCCGGCTTCCAAGCCATGGAGTAGACCTCCTGGTACTTCTATCAACTACTCTTGGGTGTTCAACTCCCATTCTGTTACTTTATATTCCCCAGATGAGTCCTTCTCTTTCTGGCTCATTTCACTTAGCATGATGCTTTCCATGTAAAACCACTTGTATGTAAATTTCATGACTTCATCTTTTCTAAAGGCTGCATAGTATTTCATTGTGTAGATGTACCAAAGTTTCTTTAACCAGTCATCTGTTCTTGGGCAGTTGGGTTTTTTTCCAAATTTTTGGCTATTGTGAATAGTGCAGCAATCTTCTTTGACTCTCCAGGATATATTCCCAGGAGTGGTATTGCTGAGTCAAATGGGAGCTCAATTTCTAATTTTTTGAGAATCGTCCATACTGTTTTCCAAAAGGGCTGAACCAGTACTCATTTCCACCAGCAGTGAAGGAGGGTCCCTTTCTCGCTACATCTGTGCTAACACCGGTTGCTTTTGTTCTTTTGGATGTGTGCCAGTCTCTGGTATGAGATGATATCTCATTGTTGTTTTGATCTGCATCTCCCTGATGATTAGTGATGTAGACCATTTTCTCATGTGCCTTTTTGCCATTCAGATTTCTTCTTTGAGAAAATTTCTGTTCATTTCATCACCCCACTTTTTGATGGGGTTGGATGTTTTCTTCTTGTGGAGTTCAACCAGTGCTTTGTATATCCTTGATATCAACCCCTTATTGGATGGGTATTGGGCGAATATCCTTTCCCATTCTGTTGACTGTCATTGTATTTTGGTCACTGTTTCTTTTTTTATTATTATTAGTGAGACACCATGAGGTACAGTTGTAGACTTACAAATTTTTGTGCTTGGGTTTCAATTATACAATGATCAAATACCCATCCCTCCACCAGTGCCCATTTCCAACCACCACGGATCCCAGTATCCCCCTCACCCCTCATCCCCCCCCCCCCCAATCCCACCCTGCCTCTGTGGCAGGGCATTCCCTTTTGTTCTCTCTCTCTCCTTTTGGATGTTGTGGTTTGCAAAAGAGGCATTGAGTGCAATCATGTTTGGTCTATAGTCTACTTTCAGCATGCTTCTCCCATCCTGGGAAGAGGATCCTCCCAACACTCTTTATTTGGTGCTCCTTTCTCTATCTGAGCTCCTTTTTCCCCTAGCATATGTGGCTGGCCTCCAAACCATGGAGCAAAATTCCTGGTACTAATCTCGGCCATTCTTGGGTGTTAGTCTCCTATTTTGTTACTTTATGTTCCCCAGATGAATGCAGTCTTTCTATGTCTATCCCTCTCTTTCTGACTCATTTCGCTTAGCATGATACTTTCCATGTTGTACCACTTGTATGTAAATTTCATGACTTCATCTTTTCTAACAGCTACATAGTACTCCATTTGTAAATGTACCAAAGTTTCTTTAACCAGTCATCTGTTCTCGGGCACTCAGGTTTTTTCCAGATTCTGGCTATTGTAAAGAGTGCTGCAATGAACAAACAAGTGCAGATGTCACTTCGACTATACATTTTTGCCTCTCTGGGATATATTCCCAGGAGGTGGTATTGCTGGGTCAAATGGGAGCTCAGTTCCTAATTTTTTTGAGAATCGTCCATACTGTTTTCCAAATGGGCTGAACCAGTCGGCATTCCCACCAGCAGTGAAGGGTCCCTTTCTTGCCACACCCACCCTAGCACCGGTTGCTTTTGTTCTTGTGGATGTGGGCCAGTCTCAGTGATGTGAAGTGATATCTCATTGTGGTTTTGATCTGGATCTCCCTGATGATTAATGATGTGGAGCATTTTCTCATGTGCCTTTTAGCCATTCAGATTTCTTCTTTGAGAAAGTTTCTGTTCATTTCATCGCCCCATTTTTTGATGGGGTTGGATGTTTTCTTCTTGTGGAGTTCAACCAGTACCTTGTATATCCTTGATATCAACCCCTTGTCGGATGTGTGTTCGGCGAATATCCTTTCTCATTCTGTAGACTATCTTTGTATTTTGGTCAGTTTCTTTTGAGTTGCAGAAGCTTCTTAGTTTAAGAGAGTCCCATTTGTCTATCTTTATTTTCACTTGCTTGGCCAGTGGCCATCACTGCTTCTTTTGAGTTACAGAAGCTTCTTAGTTTAATATAGTCCCATTAGTCTATCTCTTTTTTCACTTGCTTGGTCAGTGGCAAGATACCGTTAGCTTCAATGTTGTGGAGGGTTTTGCCAACCTCGTTTATGATGAAAACCCTCACCAAAATGGGTATAGAAGGGACTTTCCTCAATATAGTTAAAGCCATCTACCACAAGCCTATGGCAAGCATCATCTTCAATGGGGAAAAACTAAGAGCCTTCCCACTAAGATCAGGCACGAGACAAGGATGCCCACTCTCTCATTGCTGTTCAATATAGTACTGGAAGTACTTGCAATAGTGGGTAGGCAAGAAAAAGATATTAAGGGCATTCAGGTAGAAAAGGAAGAAATCAGGCTCTCAATATTCGCAGATGATATGATACTATACTTAGAGAACCCAAAACTTCTACCAAGAAACTCCTAGAAACAATAGACTTGTATACTGTATAGTAAAGTTGCAGGTTATAAACTCAGTACCCAAAAGTCCATGGCTTTCCTATATGCAAATAATGAGAGAGAAGAAAGTGACATGAAAACAACAATCCTATTCACAGTTGTGCCCCAGAAAAAAAGTACCTAGGAATCAGCTTAACTAAGGACGTAAAAGACCTGTATAAAGAAAACTACAAAACGCTACTTCAGGAAATAAAAGAGGACATGAGCAAATGGAAAGATATCCCCTGCTCATGGACTGGAAGAATTAGCATTGTTAAAATGGCAATACTCCCCAAAGCATTGTGCAACTTCAATGCGATCCCTATAATGATACCCATGGCATTCTTCAAAGAAATGGAGCAAAACTCCTGAAATTCATATGGAACAATAAGCCCCCACGAATAGCTAAAGCAATTCTTGGGAAAAAGAAAATGGGAGGAATCAACCTCCCCATCCTCAAACTCTACTACAAAGCAGTAATAATTAAAACAGCATGGTACTGGAACAAAGGCAGAGCCGCAGACCAATGGAACAGGGTTGAATATACTGACACCTCCTCCCAAATATATGACCATCTAATCTTTGATAAGGGAGCAAGAAATGTCAAGTGGAGCAAGGAAAGCCTTTTTAACAAATTGTGCTGGCAAAACTGGACAGCTACATGCAAAAAAGTGGGCTCAGATCTCTGCCTAACACCATGTACAAAAGTAAGATCAAAATGGATTAAAGACCTCAACATCAGACTGGAATCTATAATGTTCACTTTAATATAAAGATTTACTTTTCCATACTGAGTCTCCTAGTAAAACTGACAGTACAGAGCTGGGGATAGCTTATAAAGGGGTATAACATGTGTTTTGCATGGGTAAGGTCTCTGACTTGATTCCTGACACTGCATTCCCACCCCCACTGCCCGGTGTTGCGGCTGGGAGCAGCCCTGGGAGTCCCTCGAAACACTGACCCAAGCAGTGAAGCGAGAACAGGCAGGCACACACTGATACTGAGCTCCCCCACCCTCCAGCTCTGTGGAGAGGTCCGCATTATAAAAGCAAGACAGACTGGCTCTGTATGATGGACTACCTGGCAATTTGTGAAGTACAGAAATAATACCCAAGTTACCTTTATTCCATTTCATAAAACTTTATCCTGGGAAGAAGCTGGCTTACGAATGCTTTAGCTTGGTTAAAAGAGGGGGCAGATAATTGATCCTTGATCAATCAATTCCTTTTCTTCCTACCTCTGCCCAAATGAATACATAATACACTCATGTAATATTCAGATTATATGACCCCCTCCCTGACTGAGAAATACTGTCCTAGAGAATGCATTCGTGTGATAAGTATTAGATCATTCTCTGTGGTAGGGGTCACAATATGAGGCTAGACTACTGAAATTAATCTCTTAAATCACTACTTCATGCATTTGTTAGAAGGATTAAAGATGTATAATTCTTAGTATAAAAGAGTAGCACCGTAGCACTGTCCTCCGTTGTTCATCCATTTGCTCGAGCGGGCCCAGTAACATCTCCATTGTGAGACTCGTTACTGTGTTTGGCACATCTAATACGTCACGGGGAGCTTGCCATGCTTTGCCGTGCGGGCAACATACTTGCTGGGTATACTTGGTAGCTTGCTGGGCTCTCTGAGAGAGGCGGAGGAATCGAACCTGGATTGGCCGGGTAGGCTGTGTGGAAGGCAAACGCCCTACCCGCTGTGCTATCGCTCCAGCCCCATAGAAGAGTAATTGATTATTTTTTTGTTGTTTAATGGTTTTGGCTTACACCCAGTGGTGCTCAGAGCTTACTCCTGACTCTGAGCTCCTGTCAGTCCTGGTGGGCTCAGGGACCGAATGGGGTGCCCGGGGTCAAATCTGGGTCAGCTGTGTGCAAGGCAAGCACCTTAGCAACTACTATTGCCCCAGTCCGAGTAATTGGTTATTATTACAAAGTTCTCTGTGACTTTTAAACTTTGTTATATCATATAGCATAATATGTTGGTATATTTAATGGTCAGATTATGATATATGGGCTGGAGCGATAGCTCAGTGGGTAGCATGTGTGCTTTGCACGCGGCCAACCCAGGTTCAATTCCTCCACCCTTCTCGGAGAGCCCGGCAAGCTACCGAGAGTATCCTGCCTGCACAGCAGAGCCTGGCAAGCTCCCCATGGCGTATTCGATATACCAAAAACAGTAACAAGTCTCACAATGGAGACATTACTGGTGCCCGCTCGAGCAAATCGATAAACAATGGGAGGACAGTACTACAGTGGACAGTATGTTATATAACTCATTTCTTTAATCTTTGAGTATTTCTTTATGCCTTTGGAATCTCCCATAGTATATTTTTGCTTTTCTTTTTTGCCTAATCAAAAACAAATAAAACTTGCATAAAAATTTCAAGTACTAGGCTGGAGTGATAGCACAGCAGGTAGGGCATTTGCCTTGCACACAGCCAACCTGGGTTCAATTCCCAGCATCCCAGATGGTCCCCCTAGCACCACCAGGAGTAATTCTTGAGTGCATGAGCCAGGAGTAACCCCTGTGCATCGCCGGACGTGACTCAAAAAGCAAAAAAAAAAAAAAAAAAAAGTTTCAAGTACTTTTAAGATCGTTTATAAATAAGAGATACTCTCTTACAGAGTAATAGGACATGAATCAATCTTCATGATCATTAGATTAATAAAAATCACAAAACCATGAATGATTCATACATCTTAGTATTTGAAGTGGTAATTTGTTATTTTTTGATTTGGGGGCCACACCTGGCAATATTCAGAGGTTTCTCCTGGCTCTGCACTCAGGAATCACTCCTGGCGGTGCTCAGAGACTGGAAATGAGACGCTGGGTATTGAACTTGATTTGGCTGCGTGCACAGCAAGCAACCTGTCTGCTATCCTATCTCTCTGGCTCCTAAAGTGGTGAATCATTACATTTACAATGCAATTGCAAATACTTTAAAGAAATGTACAATCAGGTATAACCTACCATTGATATGTATAATATTGTATTTGTGTATATATTGTGTGTGATTAAATCTTAAAATCTTAATATGATTTGCTGTTGTTTTTTTTTTCTCATGGTTTTGAATAAGGTAAAATTAGATGGTCCAGAGGAAGAAGCACCAAATGGAAAGAACAGCAGTGACCTTCAGGTTAAAAATGAAGTCGAAGGGACCAAGACCCGCACACCCTCAGATTTATGGGGCCGTGCTGATCCCAACTTAAATGCTGTACGAATTGAAAAGTTGTCTGATGATGAAGAAGTAGACATCACGGATGAGTCAGATGACATGACCTCTCAAGCACCCCAAACAAATCCTAAGAGTGATCTGCTGTTAAACGTTCCTAGTAACCAAACACACAAAACCAGTCAAGAAAAAGAATCTACTACTTTGGACAGCCAAGAAAATCCTGTTTCTAAATCTTCCAAGGAATATCTTCAGAATATGAGGCATGGTGAAATGGAAACACTTTCATGTTCAGAAATTACATTTTGTAATGAAAAACAGTATACCCCTGGTGAAAAATTGGTTGAGTTAATTGATCAGAAATGTAACAAATTGGTTAAAACCTGTGACGAGCATGATGGAAATGGAATAGTGAGTGATGTGGGGCATTTGCCTTCTCCAGAGCCCAGTGAAGGTCAGAAAGATTCGAGGGATGGTGAAATACTTTTTCATTCATCCTTCCAAGTGGAGGGGGAGAACCATGAGGAAGAAGAGCTGAAGCCACCAGAACAAGAAGTAGAAGTAGATAGAAATACCATTCAAGAAGAAGAAAAGCAAGCAATTCCTGAGTTTTTTGAAGGCCGCCAAGCTAAAACACCAGAACGTTATTTGAAAATTAGGAATTATATTTTGGATCAATGGTAAGATGTTTTAAAACTTTTTTTTTAATTTAATTTTATAGTTTTTTTTTTAATTTTTTTTTATTAGTGAAACACCATGAGGTACAGTTGTAGATTTACAATTTTTTGTGCTTGGGTTTGATTATACAATGATCAGATACCCATCCCTCCACCAGTGCCCATTTTCCACCACCATGGATAATATCCCCCCCACCCCCATCCCCCATCCCCCCTGCCTCTGTGGCAGGGCAATCCCCTGTGTTCTCTCTCTCCTTTTGGGTGTTGTGGTCTGCAAAAGAGGCATTGAGTGGCAAACATGTTCAGTCCATAGTCCACTTTCGACATGCATCTGTTTTAAAACTTTTAATTGGTCCTATGCAGAATTTAACTTTAGTATTGCTAGTGATCTGGAGATATCTAGCATAAACATGTTTCAAGAAGACAAGATTTAAAATTTCTCTTAAATATTAGATGGGGGTTGTGTTTACATTATTATCTATAACTCTCTTAATCTGTCTCTCCATTCATAAAGAGTATTTTGGCTCTCTGGGGCCAGAGAGATTTCAGGGGTAAATATATTTGTTTTCCATTTTATATATTTTTTGCCTTGATTAAAATTTAGCATACAGCGTTTAGGTTTTTTTTTTTCCAGATCATTTTTAGGAACTGGAGTGACAGCTCTACCTGTAAGACGCTTGCCTTGCACGTGACAAACTCAGATTTGATCCCCAGCATCCCATGTAGTTCACCGTGCCTGGCCAGGAGTGATCCCTGAGTATAGAGCCAGGAGTAAGCTCTGGGCACTGCCGGGTATGGCCCCAAAACAAAATAGATTGTTTATAAATTAGACAATCATACTCACTGGCTAAATAATGAACCAAAGTAATATATTAAAAACTGTAATTGGGAAAGTCAGGACTGGAGAGATAGTACAATAGACAAGGAGCTTGCCTTGCAAATGGCTGACCCAGGTTCGATCCCCAGCACCCCCTATGGTCCCCTGAGCACTGCCAAGTGTGTTTCCCACCCCACTCAAAAAAAAAAAATTGGAAAGGTACTTTCACAGGTCCTATCAAAGTTAATCTTTTAATTCAAAGATGAATCCAGAGCCCTGAAATAATTCATTGGAATCAACTGAATTTGGTACTAGGGAACAAATAATATTTGAAAAAACCCTCAATACTTGCAAGTTACTGTATCATTTAAAAACATGTTCAGAAAGAAGTACACCAGAGTATTAGGTGTAAATACAGCATTCTGTATACTATATTTACATATTGAGAGGGGTAATATTTTTAAGGTCTTTTAAATATTGAAAGTTTTTCCTAAAAATGTTTTTTCATGTTTTTATTCATTAAAAATAATTGTACTTTTATCTTTTAACTAGGGCGATATGCAAACCGAAATACTTAAATAAGACCTCAGTACGTCCTGGCCTGAAGAACTGTGGGGACGTTAATTGTATTGGACGGATTCATACATACCTCGAGTTGATAGGAGCAATCAATTTTGGATGTGGTAAAAAAATTTTCACCTTCCAAAAAAAACTTTTATTATTATTTTTTAATTTATTCTTTTAAAAAAACTTTACCCAAAGTATTTTATACTCAACATTTTGTTTTTACAGACATTGTTCATTTGTTTAATGATTAGCATTCAAATCAATTCAGATACAGATTTCTTCAGGAAAATGCTATAATATTATAGATTAAACATATTGAGATTTTTCTGTAAAGCATATGTCTGTCGATTAAACTGTTTCTCTTTAACCCATGGTGAAAAGTTGATGGTGTACTTTTTTAATGTAAAGCAGTCATCTTAAGCAGTTGAGAATCTAAGAATTCAGTTCTTAGGGCCAGAACGATAGTACAGAGTGGAAGGTGCTTACCCTGCACACAGGTGACCCGAGTTTGATCCCCAGCCCCTCAGGAATGATCCCTTAACAGCGAGCCTAGAATAATCTCTGAACACTGCCAGGGAGAGCCCGGCATCCCCCAGACCCCTAAACGATGCAGCTCTTTCTCAGAAAGAAATAAAATTATTTCATCTTAACTTGAACTTAATAACAGTAGGACCTTCAGCATATATATTTGTGGAAAAAAATTTATTTAGTTTGCTTTAGTTTTTCTCAAATTAAAAAACAGTGAATGGGCATAGTTTTAAATTCTATCCTTTTAGTAGGACGCAAATTTCTGACATTAGCTATAGGTACAAAGTAATAAGGTAATTACAGTTTTGTACCCATGATTTAAGAATAGGCTGTATATTCTTTGTCTATGAAAAGACCATCTTTCTCTCAGAGATGACTCATTTTACAGAGATCAGTGGTATTTACAGTTTTGCATGAGATCGCCCTTTCACTTTTGTGCCTGTGTGGTCCAAAGCACTTTATGTTGGGATTAGCTTCTCAGGAGAAATAAGGCTTCCTGAGGTGAATAAACAGAAAATGAAATCGTGTTCTGTATTAGCCTTCTAAGGTTAATGAAGGAGGCTTGGCAATCATTTAATCAGAATGAAATTATCCATTTCATAAATACCCCATTTTGTTAAGATTGTCTTATACTAACTGATTTACTTTTATCTGAGAATTACAAAGTAGCATATCGATGATATGATTGGGGAATAGATTGTGAAATAGAGTAATAGAATATCAAGTATAAAAAAAACTTTCCACCTATTTAACAAATGATAAATTTGTTAAATCTAACGAATGGTACATTTGTTGAAATCTAACATCATAAATTTATTCAATTTAACAAATTTCTTTATACTTACGTAACAGATGAGTTTTGTAAAGTAAATTGTGTTTTTTTCTGAATTCCAATAGAACAGGCCATATATAACAAGCCACAGCCAGTTGATAAAGCTCGAATCAGAGATAGAAAAGATGCAGTAGAGGCATACCAACTCGCCCAGCGCCTGCAGTCTGTGGTAAGCAAACAGTCATTCCTCTCCCTCAGATGATCCCTGGTTGGTTCTGTCCTTGGTCAGTTAGGAGTGTGGCCTTCCCTTCAATTGTGTGACAAATGGCTGTTTAGTTGAGCATATATTTGTCTTGCATTTCAGTTTTGCTGTTGACATATTTGAGTCACCTTTCAATTTCAATGTTATTTACAAGTTAAAGAAACCCCTCAAAATTGACTGCCAGATTTTATTGCCCTTTGGGGACTGGGGGGATGCATAGTAGGACGACACCTGGTAGTGTTCAGTGCTTACTCCTGGCTCTGTGCTCCAGGATCATTCCTGATGATGCTCAGAGGACTATATGAGATTGAACTGTAATTGACCACACTCAAGGCGAGCACTTATCTCTCTGGCCCTGAATTTCTCTTTCCACCATTTGTGAGCTAATATTTGAGAGATTAAAAAAAAAAATTGAAAGTCAGAAAACCCCACTAAGAAAACGATTTCTCATTCAATCACTCCGTAGTAGAAAACTTTAACACTTGCAAGAATTTATGAGAGGTACAATTCTGAAAACTTGAATAAAATTAATTACATCTGAGCCCAGACACAGTAACAACAAAGTCTCCAATGGAGACGTTACTGGGCCCGCTCGAGCAAATCGATGATCAACGGGAGGGCCTTTACTTTTTACTTTACTTACATCTGAGCCCTGAGCACAGGCAGATATGGCTCTGAACCACCCCACCCCAACCCCTGCAAAAAAAAGAAAAAAGAAAAATAGGAATTAAATTATAGAAAATCATCACAGATTTATTTCTGAGCACTATATTAACTATTGAACATATAAACTGTTATAAATTGCTGTTGAGAGATTAGTGTTGTAATGAAGAACTTACATTTAGAAAATATTCTCTTTGGCTTTTTATCTTAATTCTCCAAATTAAACTTGTTACCCTTTGTTTTATTCTAATCTCATCATAGCGCACAAGGAGACGGAGGGTCAGAGATCCATGGGGAAATTGGTGTGATGCAAAGGATTTAGAAGGACAGACTTTTGAGGTAACTCTGACGTTTTCAAATGATAGGAGTTCTTTTTTGTCTATGTATTTTGATATCTTAATGCCACATTTATCACAGTTTACATGTGTATGTTGATCAATTCTGAGTTAATGTATTTGTTGAGAAGTCAATAATAAACAGGCAGAAAACATTACTGGTACAGTTGACTAGCAGTTGGAGTGACTTTCTAAACTCTGGTATTATCTCTACATTCAGTTTAATCTAGTTTAAGGATATCTGCAGGAGTGGAAGGAAGTGATGTACCCTATTCATTTCACTGAATGTTTATTGAATGGTACTCCAATATATCAGTTAAAGTCATATTCTGAGCATAGGCTATGTGTGTGTGTGTGTGTGTGTGTGTGTGTGTGTGTGTGTGTGTTTGATTTGTGAACCACCAGTGCAGGTTGAATGGAAAGAATGTATGATTCTTACTTACTGGCTTTGTTACCTTAGGCAATTTTTTTTTTAGTACTTCCTTGCTGAGTTTTAGTCTGGTTCTATCAAGAGGTAATAGGGTGACAGGGTGACTGTGTTGAAGTCTCAACTACTATTGTGTTGCTAACCAGTGTCCTCCTTAAAGTCTATTAGCAGTTGTTTTCTTTTTTATTTATTTATTTATTTTTTAGTGAAACACCATGAGGTACAGTTACAGACTTAGGATACTTTCCTGTTTTTATTTCAGTCATTTTCATTTCATTTCATTTCATCATCCTGTTAATCGTCGATTGCCTCGAGCAGGCCCCAGTAACGTCTCTTTCATCCTAGCCCTGAGATTATATTCAGGGCTCTTTAGGAGAATGAGACCCATCATTGTTACTGGTATTTGGCATATTTGGTAGGCCACGGGGAGTTTGCCAGACTCTGCCCTGTGGGCAGGCTACATTCGACAGCCTGCAAGTTTGTCCAAAGTAGGAATGAGACAATAAGATGTCGCGCGGCTGCGCGGTTCCGGGATCTGGATTTTATAGTCTCTGAGTCTTGGCCGCTGATGGGATTACACGGCGCCAGGGGGCCAGGTGGTGGGTGTGACCCCCGCCTACTGGAATTTGGAGGATCTGGGTGGAAGATGCTCGACTCCAATTCGAGTAGGCTTGGAGGTCTCGGCCCCGGAACCCGCGTGGCTTTGTCCCTCTGCCAGTACCTTCATGTGTGCGGAGAGTGGTCTCAGCATGGTGGTGGCTGGTCCTGGAGGTCTTCGGCTGCCGTAGCCCTGGTCGGGGCGGGGAGGAAAGCTCAACCCGCTCCCCTCCAAGGGACTCCGGGAAGGAACACCGAGGCGCGGGGGCAGAGTCATACAATGATTAAGTACCCATCTCTCCACCAGTGCCCATTCTCTACCACCAAGATCCCAGTATCCCTCCCACCACCCCCACTCCAAACCCTCCACTCCATCCCACCTCGTGGCAGGGCATTCCCTTTTGCTCTCTCTCTCCTTTTGGGTATTGTAGAGTGGCCATCATGTTCGGTCCATAGTCTACTTTTAGCACGCATCTCCCATCCCGAGCAGGCCCTCCAAGCACCCTTTACTTGGTAGTCCCTTCTCTATTTGAGCTGCCTTTCCCCTCAGCATGTGAGGCCGGCTTCCAAGCCATGGTGCAATCCTCCTGGTACTTATCTCTACTATTCTTGGGTATGAGTCTCTCATTCTGTTACTTTATATTCCACAAATGAGTTCAATCTTTCTATGTCTGTCCCTCTCTGACTCATTTCACTTAACATGGTAAATTTTATGACTTCATATTTTGTAACAGCTGCATAGTATTCCATTGTGTAAATGTACCAAAGTTTCTTTAACCAGTCATCTGTTCTCGGGTACTCGGGTTTTTTACAGATTCTGGCTATTGTAAACAGAGCTGCTGTCACTGTCACTGTCCTCCCATTGTTCATCGATTTGCTTGAGTGGGCCCAGTAACGTCTCCATTGTGACAATTGTACTGTATTTGGCATATCGAATACGTCACCAGTAGCTTGCCAGGCTTTGCCGTGCGGGCGAGATACTCGGTAGCTTGCTGGGGTCTGAGAGGGATGGAGGACTTGAACTTGGGTTGGCCATGTTGGCCGCTTGCAAGGCAAACGCCCTACCCGCTGTGCTATCGCTCCAGCCACATAAAAGTGCAGATGTCATTTCTACTATACTTTTTTGCATCTCCAGGATATATTCCCAAAAGTAGTATTGCTGGGTCAAATGGGAGCTCAATTTCTAATTTTTTGAGAAGTGCCCATACTGTTTTCCAAAAGTGCTGAACCAAAAGGGCATTCCCACCAGCAGTGAAGGAGAGTCCCTTTCTCCCCACATCCATGCTTACACCAGTTGCTTTTGTTCTTTTGGATGTGTGCCTGTCTCTGTGGTGTGAGATGATATCTCATTGTTGTTTTGATCTGCATCTCCCTGATGATTGGTGATGAAGAGCATTTTTTCATGTGCCTTTTGGCCATTCGAATTTCTTCGAGAAAGTTTCTATTCATTTCATCTCCCCATTTTCTGATGGGGTTGGATGTTTTCTTATAGAATTCAACCAGTGCCTTGTATATCCTTGATATCAACTCCTTATCAGATGGGTATTGGGTGAATATCCTTTCCCATTCTGTTGACTGTCTTTGTATTTTGGTCACTGTATCTTTTGAGGTGCAGAAGCTTAGTTTAAGATAGTCCCATTTGTTTATCTCTGTTTCCACTTACTTGGTCAGTGGCGTGTCATCTTTGAAGATACCTTTAGATTCAATGTCTGGAAAGTTTTGCCGACCTTATATTCAATGTGCCTTATGGATTCTGGTCTGATGTTGAGGTCTTTAATCCATTTTGATCTAACTTTTGTACATGGTATTAGGAAGAGGTTTGAGCCTTTTTTTTTTTTTTTGCATGTAGCTGTCCAGTTTTGCCAGCACCATTTGTTAAAGAGGCTTTCCTTGCTCCACTTTACTTTTCTTGCTCCCTTATCAAAGATTAGATGATAATATATTTGAGAGTGTGTGAAAGGATACTCAACCCTGTTCCATTGGTCTGCGGCTCTGCCTTTGTTCCAGTACCATGCTGTTTTAATTATTACCGCTTTGTAGTAGAGTTTGAGATTGGGGAAGGTGATGACCTTAGGCAAATTTTTAACCTCACTGAATCTCAAGTTTTTGTTTCCAAAGGTTGAATAATATCTCCCTCATAGAATTTCTGGTAAATCCAGTGAAATAGGTTCAATAACATATAATAAGATGCTAAAGCCAGGTACTCAGTAAGCCTTGGCTGGTCAGATTTTTAATACATCATCTTTTTCCCCTTTTCACTCCCTGCTCCCCACCCACAATTTCTCTCTGCCAGGCACAACAATTAGTGATGCAAAGTTTCTGCGTAGAGGAACTTAACATTTCTCATAGGAAAGATAAAACCCGTGGTTCCTAAAGATTAGTCCCAGAAAATAAAATGTTTTTAGTGAAACCAAATGGGGCATGCTGGGTGAGCCGGAGAATCTCAAAATGTAGAAAAGGAGAGAAGGGCATTCTAGGCTGAGGGAATCTGCATGAACCAAGTAGAGATACGGGAAAGTACCAGTTACTTATTTTCTGGGAAAGGTTTATAGTTTATTTGTTCTGGAGTTTAAGATTGGTCATAGGAATGGGACAGTTTATACTTTTGTAGGACTTAAAATGTGTCAGGCACAAATATCTTACAAGTATTAATTTATTTAATCTTCACAGTCTCACTATAACATTATTTTTTTTAATTATTGTTCCCATTTACAGATTAGGAAACAAGCATAGAAAGCTTTAGTAAATTCCCCAGGGCCACCCAGGTAGGAGCAGGCAAACTTGGCATGTACCCCCAGAATCTGTATTCTTTTCACACCATGATGTCTCTGGTTGTGAAAGAAAACCCAGTAAGTACATCTTGCATGCCTGAGACCTGAATTCAGTTCAAAGAAAGAAAGGAAGAAAGGAAAGAAAGTTCAGTACAGAAGTTGATTAGAAATGGGAAGTTAGAGGAAGACCTAGATGATTCGAAAATATCTTAGTTTTAATAATACCACTAATTGCAATGGGCAAGTCAACAGAAGAAATAAACTAGATTCATATGGTTCCTTTTTTTTCTTTTGTTATGTGCCCGTATCTTTCCTCAGGGATCACTCCTAATGAGTTTTGGGGGACCACATGGGATGTCAGGGATTAAACCTGAGTCAGCGTATGCGGGGCAAGTGCCCTGCCATTTGTATTTTCTTTTTGGTTCCACACTCTAATACATTATCCAGCATTTCTTTTTATTATTAGCAAGAAGGAGACAGGTACATCACCTTTCTCTTATTCGTATAAGCCCATAAATATGGTTTTAAAGGATTTTTATTCTCCCTCCCAGTGATTCATAGAGTCAGATCAGTTTATATTTTATGTTTCAGCATCTCTCTGCTGAGGAGTTGGCAAGAAGGGAGGAGGAAACAAGCAAACCCGTTAAGTCTTCCAAAGTGCCAAGACCAACAAAAAGGTACAGCATTATGTTCATCGATCGCTATCCTCCCATTGTTCATCGTTTTGCTCGAACAGGCCCAGTAACGTCTCCGTTGTGAGACTTGTTGTTACTATGTTTGGCATATCGAATACGTCACAGGTAGCTTACCAGGCTTTGCCGTGCAGGCAAGAGACTCTTGGAAGCTTGCCGGGCTCTCCGAGAGGGATGGAGGAATCACACCCGGGTTCGCCCAGCTGGCCGTGCAAGGCAAACCCCCTACCGCTGTGCTATCGCTCCAGCCCAGCATTATGTTATTTAATGTAAATTATTTTTAATTTAGTACTAGTGTTAGAAATTTATGGGGAAAGTATCTGATTTAGCAATAATTGTTCACTGTCAGTAAAATGTGTTGCTAAAATTTTTGAAATGATTTCACTGATTATCAGTTTGGGAGACCTTGAGCAAATTTTCAGAGTGATTAATTTTACTGTGAAAGGTGGGCATTTAACTCCTTAGACATTCTAACCAGATATCCTCATGAAACAATTGTTCTCTCTTTGGGTGGTATTAATTGTTAGCATGGTCTTGTGAAAGAAGAATTTGTTTTATGATCTAAATCTCTTTTTGTATTATTAAGGGGCACTAAATAAGATACGTATATGTGTGTGCATACATGCAGACACACAGAAATGTCTATTAAGTGGAACATAATTTTATCAGTATTCTTTCTAAAGGGAGATACTCAGAAATGCTACTTGATTATTTTCAGTGGAAAGAGCCCTGTCTTAGAATCTGTCTAGCGATCTCTGCCTAGTAAAGAGCTTAAAACTACTAGAGCATTAAGTTCTGTTTTATAAACTGATTTCTATTATAGCCAATATTGTTAGCTGTTTAAGCACTTCAGTGTGTTAACTCATTTAATCCTCTTAAGAATTTGGTGCAGTAGTTAGTATTATCCTTCCCATTTTACAGATAATGTTGGTCAAAGAGGAGGAAGGTTAGTCCTTGTTAGTTGTAACAAGTAAAGTAATTCATCCTAGGCATTAACACTTCAGAAGTAAAACTAATAAGCTTTGCATTATATAGTCTCTAAAAATTAAAACTTTAGAGAATAAATTAGAGAAATATGCAAATAATTCATAGTAATTCATTAGGTCTTCTCATCTTGTATCTGTAGTAGTAGATTTTCTGATGTAAGCTTAGTGCTTTTCAAGTCCTTTGTTTCAGTTTGTTAGGATCGTGTTAAAACCAGAAACACTTTCTCATATTAGCCTTGAATTGTGATATTTCAATAAACTTGCCTTTCTACTGTTAACAAGTAATTGTAATAGCTAAACATAAACCTGAGAACAGTGTTCCCTCAGCTGTACATTTTCACTGTTTACCTATATTATTTCATCTGAACATGGAAGGTTTTCTTGCTTACATTTAGACAAAAAAAATACTTAAGTCTTGAATTTACCTGCTAGTTTTAGATCCTTCCTATCAAAAGTTAAATCTAGGAGGACAGGGGCCAGGGCAATATTACAGTGGGTGAGGCACTTGCCTTGCATGCAGCCAACAAAGGCTTGATCCCAGCATCCCAATTGGTTCCCCAAGCCTGCCAGGGGGGATTCCTGAGTGCAGAGCCAGGAGTAACCCTAAGCACTGCGAGTTTCGGCCCAAAACAAATAAAATCCTTGGAGGACAGAGAGATAATACAGGAGGTAAAGTGCTTGCCTTGCATGCAGCCCCACCCAGGGTCAAATCCGTGACATTGTATATGGTCCTCTGAGCACTGCTAAATGTGCCCCTCCCCCCCAAAATAAAGGTAAAGGTAAAAGGTAAAGGCCCTCCCGTTGATCGTCGATTTGCTCCAGCGGGCCCAGTAACGTCTCCATTGGAGACTGTTGTTACTGTGTAATACTCTCGGTAGCTTGCCAGGCTCTCCGAGAGGAGTGGAGGAATCGAACTCGGGTCGGCCATGTTGGCCGCTTGTAAGGCGAATGCCCTACCGCTGTGCTATCGCTCCAGCCCCAAAATAAAAATAGTAAAAAACTATACAGACTTGTCACTCTCACTGTCCTCCCGTTGTTCATCGATTTGCTCCAGCGGGCCCAGTAACGTCTCCATTTTGAGACTTGTTACTGTGTTTGGCATATCGAATACGTCACGGGTCTCTTGCCAGGCTTTGCTGTGCAGGCGAGATACTCTCGGTAGCTTGCCGGGCTCTCCGAGAGGGTTGGAGGAATCGAACTTGGGCTGGAGCGATAGCACAGCGGGTAGGGCGTTCGCCTTACAAGCGGCCAACATGGCCGACCCGAGTTCGATTCCTCCGCCCCTCTCGGAGAGCCCGGCAAGCTACCGAGAGTATTCGATATGCCAGACACAGTAACAACCAAGTCTCCAATGGAGACGTTACTGGGCCCGCTCGAGCAAATCGACGATCAACGGGAGGGCCTTTACCTTTACCTTTATGTTGCCCACATGCAAGGCAAGCACCAGACGCGCTGTGCTATCGATACAGACTTGCCTTACCATGACTTAAATTTTCTTGAACCTGTTACTTTTTTTTTTTTTAGTAGTTATGTCTTCATTTACTTAAGGCTTACTATGGCCTTATTATTATGATATGTTTGATGATCCTTTGTGTAATTTCCCGAATATTCAAGATCTGATTTGATCTCTTTAAAAGCAAGCCCAGTAATCACTTATTTCTGATCTCCAGTAACTTCCCCCTTTTCTGCAACTTCTCAAAAAGTGTGACCAAAAAAAAAAAAGTTGTAGGATTGGAGCAATAGTACAGTGGGCAGGGTGTTTGCCTTGCATGCGGCCAACCTAGGTTGCCTTGCATGCGGCCAACCTAGGCACCCCAAATAGTCTCCTGAACATCCTGAACATTTGGGTGTGACTCCAAAACAAACAAAAAGAGTTGTTTTATTCAGTGCTATGGAAGAACATCCTTTTTCTGCTTTCTTATCTGTCTTGGCCTTTGGTTTCTTTTTGTTTGTGTTGATTAAGCACTTCTAACTTGAATATCTTACTTCCCTCAACATTTTTTGAGTGTCTTTGATGCTCAGGCACTGTTCTAGATGCTTGGAAAATAGTAGTCAGAAAGGCAAAGACTCTTCCAAAGGTCACAGTCTTGGAGAGAATAGGAACTAAATAGTTCTGCTTCTTTTTCCTAGTGTTCACATGACCATTAACCTTGTTTGTTTTCTATCAATGAATATAACCTGAAAACTGTTTCTTATGTCCAGTGTTTTTCCCAAACCTCAGTTATTTACCAGTTAGATTTTACCAGTCAGCTCTGTTTCTCAGATTTATGCTTTTGCATCTTGCCATGCTTAGATGTACATCTTTTCCTTTTTCTTTACATCTCAAAGTACATTGTCATAAAGTTCTCTATACATTTATTTGGCAGAACAATTTCTCCTTTAAACTTTCAACAGATACTTGTTGTTGGAAGTTCTTATGCTGAACACATTATTGTACTGACAAAAGCATTTATGAAAAACTTTCATGTTGAAATTTCTTTCTATGTCTTGTCAGGGAATTGATTACATTTCAAGTGAAGGACACGTGTCTGGTCATTTTAAATGTTGTTCTCTTTGAGTATTAATGTATGACAATGGGTACTTTCTCCCAAGTGTCCTGTCCTGTCCTTTCTTTTTTTTTTTTTTAAACTTTTTCCAAAGAATAGTGCTGCTTTCAAAAGACCTATATGAAGAAATTCCTAAGAAATTCTTCCCATGTAATATTTTTCTTGTGCGCAATTTAGGTGTGATTAATACACATTTTCAAACCAGGAAACTTGTAAATGTTCTTCTACTAATCATGTTATTGTGATTATTTTTAAGTAACTTTTTTTTTCTTTTTTAGCTCATTTGATCCCTTCCAGCTGATACCTTGTAATTTTTTCAGTGAAGAAAAGCAGGTACTACTTACTCTCCACTGAATAACCATAAATAATGCCTTCTTGTCAGACAAGAAATGTTCCTTCTTTTTGTATGTGTGTGAGACATATGTAAATAAAAGATTGGACAAAGAATGGTACATGATGAATTTAGATGACTGATTCATTTAAACAGAAAATGAGAGGGAAGTTGTTCATGTTAGAATTTTAAATGATAATTTCAAAAATAACAAAATCTGGCCTGTAGTGAACCTTGATTGATAATAATAAGATCATTGTGTGTTGATAATAAGATCATTCTCCCATGTAGAAGACAAGGGTAGATGTTCCAATTAGAGAAAACAAAATCTCTATTTTTATGCTTCCCCCATTTTTTTTTTTTTATATTTCAGGAGCCATTTCAGGTGAAAGTGGCTTCAGAAGCACTTTTAATAATGGATTTGGTAAGAATAATCTATTGTGTTTACTTAGCTATTCTGATTTCTATTCTTGTGTATTTTTATTGCAGGCATAAGAGAGTATGGAAGACGTGTATTTTGGATCTTAACTATCCTCTTTTACAAGGAATCTAAAAATAAGTCTTTTCTTTTGGAGAAAAGCCAAACAATTGCATGTTTCCATATTTTAGAGAAAATTAATTAATGTGAGTTTTTGCAGACTGTTTATCATAATTAACCCTGTTTCATTTTCTGGTATTCTTTGTCTGCTACCTTCTATATATTTGCAACAAAACACAACTCCTGTAATTTGGAGGTTTCATATTTTCTGAGGCCTCCTAAAGTTGTGTGTTTGATCAAGGTGTTTTTCTAGGAAAACCATTTTTTACTTTGTATTCTTATAATCTCTTTCCTGAATAGAGAAAGAAAATGGTAGCTTCAGTTTTTTTAAGTAAAAAAAAAAATGGCTTCTTGGAATCTGTGAATATTTGATTTCAAGTTCTCAGCTACCACTGATGATGGATCTAAAATCTTAAGTTTCTATATACTGAGCCTAGCATCTAGTCCTTCCACTGTGTTGCTTTATTTTAGGAAAGTGGAATTATTGTACTTATAAATTACTCTCCTGTGGTACCGTATTTTATCTGATTTTGTTTTGTGTTTTTATTTTTTTTTTTGTCTCATCTTTTTTGTATGTTGGACTAAGTTTGTTTTGTTTTGTTTTAAAGCACGCTCATGTTTCTATGGCAGAAGTGATTGGTCTATTAGGAGGAAGATATTCAGAAGTTAATAAAATAGTTGAAGTAAGTTTTCTTTTTCATAACTGTTTAGTCTAGCCATATCATATTTTTTTATAGATTTCAATGCATATTGTTGAAAGACTTTTAATAAAAAAGTTATCTTTGGAGGGCTGAAGACATAGTACAGCAGACAGTGGGCAGTTACTTTGCACGTGTCTGACCCAGGTTTGATCCCTGGCATCCCAATCAGTAGTGATCCCTGCGCGCAGAGCTAGGAGTAAGCCCTGAGCACTGCTGGGTGTGCCTGCCCCTCTCCCCCCATAAAAAAAAAAAACAGTAAAATAAAATTTTAAAAGGTTACTTTTTGGACTGGAAAGATAATACAGGGGTAAGGCGATTGCCTTGCCTGTGGCAGACTCTGGTTTAAGTCCTGACACCGTATACAGGGTCTCCCAAACCCCACCACAACTGATTACTAAGAACACAAAGCCAGGCACAAGTCTTGAACACTGTGAGCACTGCAGGGTGCCCAAAATCCTAATTAATAAATGAAGTTATCTGTATTGTGACTGAGAATCTGCAAGTATAGGCAGTTATATTGTCCCTAGAGTGACTTATCCCTGGGGAGGGTGGATAAGAGTGGGGGAGAGAAAAGAGAGGGCGGGGAGATGGAGAGACGGAGGAGCATGCGTGTGCCAGGCCATGGTTCCTCGTCATTTTTACCAACAAAAAGCTTCCATTGCTCAGAAATTACAAAGCATTTGCTAACCTTAGTTAAAATTTGGTATGTACATTCTTGTGAAATTTTCACGGGTGGGGTAATTGAAAGAATATGCATGTGCAGAGATTTTTTGTGCTGACCCATACAGTGAACAATTTTTAGGACTTTTTTTAAAAAATTTTTTTATTAGTGAATCACCGTAAGGTACAGTTACAGACTTACAAACGTTCGTGCTTGCGTTTCAGTCATACAATGATTGAGTACCCCTCCCTTCACCAGTGCCCATTCTCCACCACCTTTTGAGAGAAAAAAATGGATGCTGAGTTTCTAGTTTCCATTTGTATCACTAATGACTAGTGTGTCCCCAAAAAGGAAAACACAAAGGCTTAACATAGTGAGATTTCTGTAATTGTATGGAAAAAAAAATGAAAGTGTTGGAATAGTAGAATGAACAGGTGAAAATATAATCCTTGGCGGCTGATGTTTTATAGGTTTGTGCGGCAGAACCTTGCAACAGTCTGAGCACAGGACTGCAGTGCGAGATGGATCCTGTCTCGCAGACGCAGGCCTCGGAAGCCTTGGCTCTGAGAGGATACAGTGTCATTGGGTGGTATCATTCTCATCCCGCCTTTGATCCGAATCCTTCCTTACGAGATATTGACACCCAAGCCAAATACCAGGTGAGTTTATAGGTCCAGACGCCTATTGCTCATATCAATGTATCTGCAAATAGTTGCATGTTCGGTCCCTTCTTCCTTTTCTTTCCATTAAACTAATAAATTTTTAGCATATCTAGCAGAGGACTGCATTTCTTTGAAATAATAATACACGTTTATTTAAACATCTGGAATATCAGTTATTTTGCATAATATGGACACGCTCTCAAAGTAAGATGCTTTGAAGATTGATGGGAGCAGCTAGGACAGGGACTGAGTACGCGTGAAATAATCAGAAACATAAGTTATATTTTTTGCCTCTCTGAAAAACAGAACATTTGTTTTATCTTGTAATGTTATGCTTGATATGTGAATGTTTTGCTGTCAGCAGTTATTTGTAAATTATTACCATATTGATAAGATTATAACTGGAGGGTAGTGAATATAATTAGTAAATGTTTTCTTGGCTAATACAAATTTTTGCTGACCTAGTAATCTTTTAAGGGACTACTTTAGCCAATGTAGAGTGTGGAATGAACACTTAATGACATTTAAGTTAATTGCTGTTTGAATATGAAGTTTTGGTTTTCTGTTTGTTTGGATTTGGGGCCACACTCACAACACAGTGCTAGGGCACTTCTAATGCTGCTTGAGTACCAGGGATCAAAACTGGGCCTCATGCATATGAAGTATATGTTTTAGCTCAGTGAGCTATGTAGTTTCCAACACACCTTTTCCTTTGTTTTCCTTCATTTGATCTGTGAGTAAATGCAGAATTTTAAATTTAAGTATTGAAACTAATTATACTTCTCTTTCAATTATAGGGTTACTTTTCCAGAGGTGGTGCAAAGTTTATTGGAATGATTATTAGTCCTTATAATCGAAACAATCCTTTACCTTATTCTCAAATTACCTGCCTGGTTATCAGTGATGAAATTAGCCCAGATGGCTCTTATCGTAAGTTTCAACAAAAAATACTTCACCCTATTTATGCCTCCATTTTTTTTTTTTTTTGAATCGTACAAATCAGAGTTAGCACTGGGTAAAAACACTTAAACACTTGACATAATAGTGGATGTTCGCAACTAGGAAATAACTATTTGCATACCACGTGATAAAGCTCTGTCTTATATGATACCGATTTGGGTGTGAACTTACTGTGTGAACCTGGTCACTGGGCAAAAGGAGTCACTGTCACTGTCACTGTCCTCCCATTGTTCATCGATTTGCTCGAGCGGGCCCAGTAACGTTGTGAGACTCGTTACTGTGTTAGACATATCAAATATGTCACGTGTAGCTTGCCAGGCTTTGCCGTGCAGGCGAGATACTCTCCAGTAGCTTTCCAGCCTCTCCGAGAGGGGCAGAGGAATCGAACTCAGGTCGGCCATGTCAGCTGCATGCAAGGCAAACGCCCTACCCGCTGTGCTATCGCACCAGTCCAGGCAAAAGGAGTAGTGTTGAGAAAGGTTGTGACTAAGAATTGTGTATGTATGTTTGATACTGGAGACATGCAATAAGCAAAATCTCTGCTCTTATAAAAAAAAGAGTTTTCAGTAGATGCAGATAGGCTTTCTCTCTGATGGCATTCAGATGCATTTTTTTTTTTTTTAAGAAAAATGGTGGTCTCACCATTGAGACTGCAGAGTCCCCCGTGACCTCTCAGTTTAAACCTAACACTCTGACTCCTGTTCTAAGAAAGGTGTTGGGTTGCCTATCTCATGACTTGATGTTTTGGGGCTTACTGCTCTAGACAGCCCTGGCAGATTTAGTCATTAATTATATAAATTTTTTAAATTCTAATCCACTGTATGGGATATATTCATTGACACGGAGATCTTAAAGGATCTGTGAGAAGTTTCCAGGAGGCTCATTTTTTTTGTAATTTTTTGCCTTCTAACTGCCAATTCACAATTAATCGTATTCCCTGTCTGGTCCTAGATCAGCCCCTGTATAGAGGTGGAATGAGTGTAGACATAACTGCTAGAGTTTCAAAACCAAGCTCTGCAGCTGGAGGGATAATACAGGGATTAAGGTGCTTACTTGCATGCAGCTAACCCCTGTCCGATCTTCTGCACTGCATATGAACCCCTGAATGTTGCCAAGCTGTGCCTCTCCAAAAAAAAAATCTGATTAGATTAAGTTAAATTAAAAATAAAGCCCAAGCTCTTCTACTTTACTAGCTAAAATAGATATTTTTAAAAACTTTTAATTCAGTATTCTTATCTGTTAAATGGGAAAATGCTACTTTAGCATTGTTGTAAGCTTAATACCTATGTTTGTTTGTTTGTTTGTTTTTAAAAAAAAAAGCCATATAGTACAGCAGATAGAAAACTTGCTTTGCCTGTGGCTGATCTGGGTTCGTCCCCAGTATCCCTGTGGTAACCCAAGCACTGCCAGGAGTGATTCTTGAGAGCAGATCCAGGAGGAACCCTTGAGCACCACTGGGTGTAACCCAAAAGCAAGCAAACAAAAAATAATTTGTTGGTTCTCTGTCCTCTTTAAAAAACAAAAACCTAGAGGGTCTAGGTCTTGGTAGTCCCGGGTGATTCCCAGCTGGTGGGCCTGGCATATTATTATTAATAGCACTCCCCCATCCCCACTGCCTCTCACTTAGAAGGTCTTTGGGTTCTGATGATAAATTATGTGATCATTCTGCTTCTTACAGTCCCTTGCATAGAATTGTCATGCAAATGGCACTTTTACTTTTCTTTATTATTATTAATTGCTTGTTTTATACCAAGTTCACCCCAGACAATAAATATTAATGAATGCCCGGTATGTTTAAAAAGCTGTTTGGCTGACCCACCGAGCTATGGTCATAATTACATGGAAGGGAAATGCAATTAGTTATAAGGAGGTTAGAGATTTAAGAAATTGTTGATGGAAACCTGCCTCATTTTGATTTTCTAGGTTTACCGTACAAATTTGAAGTACAGCAGATGTTAGAGGAGCCGCAGTGGGGATTAGTGTTTGAAAAGACAAGATGGATAATAGAAAAATACAGGCTTTCCCACAGGTATGTACCGTGCTCTGAGATAGCCACACATCTGCAGCGTTTCTCGTTAAATTATGTTTCAGAGAAAACCTGAGTTAAATATAAAATGGTGATGTATGGCATCAGTGGTCATTTATTACAAAACTGATGAGTTTATAATATTTTGTCTCATTGCTTTGTTTCCATGTTTCTTTCTGCAGCAGTGTCCCCATGGATAAAATCTTTCGCCGGGATTCTGACCTGACTTGTTTGCAGAAAGTAAGCCCCTTCATTTTAATTGGTTCTATTGTTCACACTCTGAAACTATTCATCTTGATGTGTTTTCCCACGATGCCTGATGCTTTGCATATACATTTTTTGTGTGTTTCCTTTATTGCTTTTTTCTTTCTAAAATTAATTTCTAAGAGATAATTAGTAATGTGTTTTGTTACCCACACTTGCATGTAGAAGTAATACTATTTTAGAATAAATTTGTCATTATGGGCTGATGAATTTCTTCAAAGATTATTCTTCTGCACAGTGGAGAACATTTTTCTTATTTTATTAAATTCAGAATCACCATGTTTCCATTTTAACGTTAGCAATCTATCATTTTTAAGAATGGTAATATAAATCTAACAATTAAATTTAAATGGTCATTTTATTTAACTTTCTGGAAGAAGACAACAGTCCTGAATTTCTCTAATTTCACTTACAGTTGTGTTCCCATAAATACTGCGTGTGTGTGTGTGTGTGTGTGTGTGTGTACTCTGGCTATACTGTAGATTAGCATCATAGTTGTCTTTTTCTTTTCTTGTAGCAATATGAGAATAGAAAATTTAAGAATAAAATTTACTTTTAACATTTTGGGCCTTTTTTGTTGTAAACACTTCTTTTATGTGCTATTGGAACATTTTGTCCAGAAATAGACTCTAGCATCCCCATTTTGAAATGATTAGAGTCCTGTGTATATTTATATGTAGATTTTTATCCAATAAGATTATTTTGTTCTGTAAATATGACTTTAAAAAGAAAAACAAATTAAGAATTTGCTCAAAGTGGGGCTGGAGCAATAGCACAGCGGGTAGGGCGTTTGCCTTGCACGCAACCAACCCAGGTTTGATTCCCAGCATCCCATATGGTCCCCTGAGCACCGCCAGGAGTAATTCCTGAGTGCATGAACCAGGAGTAACTCCTGTGCATCACTGGGCGTGACCCCCCCCCCAAAAAGAATTTGCTCAAAGTAGAAAAAAAATCACAAGTATATTCTAATTTTATCTCTTTATATAAAATCATGCTTACCAAAAGTGGCCCATTAGGCACTCGCATTCCACCCAGGATCCTCCACCCAGATCCTCCAAATTCCATTAGGCAGGGGTCACACCCACCAACTGGCCCCCTGGCGTGTGTAATCCCTCAATGGCCAAGACTCAAAGACTATAAAACCCAGCTCCCGGAAGCGCCTGGCTGCGAATCTTATTATCTCATTCCTACTTTGGACAAACTGGCAGGTTACAGAATGTAACCTGCACACATGGCAGAATCTGGCAAACTCCCCGTGGCATACCCAATATGCCAAATACCAGTAACAAATGATGGGTCTCTTTCTCCTAACCCTGAAAGAGCCTTGAATATGGCACTTTTTTAAAAATCTCAGGGCTAGGACGAAGGAGACGTTACTGGGGCCTGCTCGAAGCAATCGAATAACAGGGTGATCGTGATATAAAATCATAAAGGACCTAATCTGAGTATGCCTCAAACCTGGCTTCCTCTATTTCAGCTATATTACTATTAAACACAGGCTTAGCATTAAGCCACCTTTATCCTTTATTTATTTATAAACAGCCCTTTTTTTTTTGGTCACACCCGGCGATGCAAGGGCTTACTCCTGGCTCATGCACTCGAGAATTACTCCTGGCGGTGTTCGGGGAATGATATAGGATGCTGGGAATCGAACCTAGGTCCATGTGCAAGGCAAACATCCTACTCGCTGTATCGCTCCAGCCCCCAGCATCAAGCCACCTTTAAAGAAAATGTTTCATTTGAACATTAGAAGGCAGTGAAATGACAGTAGTGCAAACTATTTTTAAACTAATTATAAATCCTTTCTTTCAACCAGCTTTTGGAGTGCCTAAGGAAAACTCTGAGCAAAGTGACCAATTCTTTCATTGCTGAAGAATTCTTGACTCAAATAGAAAGTTTGTTTCTTTCGAATTATAAAAGCAAGCAAGAAAATGGAGTGGGTGAAGAGAACTGTCCTGTGGGTGCAACGGAATGATTCAGTGATGGATGATGATTATGTAAGACATTTCATCTGGACACCAGAGTTTCTACTTTCAAAGTTGCAATCTTGACTGTACTTTAGTTACAGTAGCATAGTATTGCTGTTCTTTAGTTCACAGGATCCCGGTCTTGTCGTGTGAATCGTGTGAAAGGAAAGCAATCAGGATTTGTTCTCCTAGTAATCCCCCCAATGTCCTATAACCTTGCTGGCACCAGGCTCTGGGCCGACCACAGGACAGCAGTGCAGTGGGCTCGAAGGGACTGTCTACCCTACCAGATATGTGCCATGTGGCTAGGATTATTAATTATTTCTCCCTCAGCTCCCATTTTTGTTAGCTTGTGTCTTCCTAGGAGAACTTAACATTCTTTGTATATGCTTTGGTGAGATCTTCTTATGGTACAAATGATATGTGGGCCGGTGGTCACTGAGGTGTTGACTGTGGTTGAGAACTGCTGGCGTAATAAATCTTAACAACATGCTCTGGAGGGCCGAGCCCTGCAGAAGGTGAAAACCTTAAAACTAGAGAAGAAACCCAGATGAGAATGAAATTACCGGTTTGTAAATCATGAGCGTTTGCTTCCATTTTATTTAATAGCAATACTACTCCAAGAAAGGCCGTTTTCTTGCCTTGCTTGTGGTTGACCCTGGTTTGATCCCCTGTACCACATATGGGTCTGCCTCTGACAGGAGTGATCCCTGAGCACTGAGTCAGGAGTCAGCCCAGAGCACCGCTAGGTGTGGCTCCCCCAGTAAAGATAGGCCATTTTCTCAGCTATTTGATGAATTTTGTACATAAAATAATTAACTTCATTTAGTCTGTTTAGATTAATGTTGTGATAAAACCTCATTCAGATGTAAAGCATGTAATCATAACCTTTTAACTAGATTTTTCCCCCCCTGCACCTATTATCAGATGTAAAACAAGTTATATTAAAGCTTGAATGAATTAAGTATTTAATTTTGAGAACAAAAAATGTTCCAGGGCATATTAGCTACTCAGCTAAATTTCAGTAACAGCTGAATTAGAAGAGGTCCACAAGTTCCTTATATGAAGGGCCGGTAAATTAGTAACGTGGGCTCTGCACGCCACACCTCAGGCCTTGCTGGCTTGCCTTGCTTACAGCTGACCCTGATTCGATCCCTAGCACTGTCAGGGGCGATCTCTGAACATGAAACTACCAGTAAGCCCTGAGCATGACCAAGTATGGGTCATCCCCCCCAAACAAAATAAAACAAATGCAAGCAAATAAAAAAAGCAGTCTCTTGGGTGTTCTTAATATTTTTATACAACCTTTTGGAAATGTTAAAAATGAAAAATATACCCGTGGCGGGGAGGGGAGAGGGTGGGGGTTGCACCTCCTGTGGGACTCAGAGGCTGCTCGAGCTTGGTGCACAGGTTCTTTCCCAGCAGTCCTCGGGGAACCATGCAGTGTGGGTGTTGGGACCAGAACTCCCACAGACGAAGCATACGCTCCAGCCCAGCAAAACCTTCTGACCTCATCAACAGGTTGCAGGTTATTGTCTTCCAGCCCTACTCTAGGGAATGCAGCCATTTAAATTTTTTTTGCCTGCTCTATGAATTGAGACACTGAACGTTTTTTACATTCTCTTTAAACAATAAGATTCAGAGTTATGATTTATATTTAAGTATGTTTTCAATTAATTTACTAATCATGCTGCCTGGTTTGAGTAGATTTTTAGTTCATTTCTATTAATCATAGAATTGATTGATACCTATATTGCTAATTAGTCTTATCCATGATTTCAGGGGGGTGGGGTTACAGTTTTTTGGGGGGGGGGGTTAGGCCACACCCAGCAGTACTCAGGGCGTATTCCTGCTCTGTGCTTAGGGATCACTCCTGGCAGCGCTTGGGGGACCATCTGTGGTGCCAGGGACTAGACTTGAGTCAGATGCATGCAAGATAAGTGCCTTTTCCTCTGGACTGTCTCTCGGGTCCTGATAATTACTCGATTACATCCGAACTGAATATGACTGTGTGAGAATTTTGTTGTTGTTGTTCCTTTCTGGTTTTAATCAACATTCATGGGAAGAGTTAGACCTATTGGAAGGAGTGACGGGACCATATGGGGTGCTGGGGGCAGAACCCTCATTGGCCATGTGAAAGGCAAATGCACTACCCACTTTACTGTCACTCTGCCCCTTTTTATTTGGGAGTGGGGGGAGGGGTCTAAATTCTTATGTGACTAAGTCTAAATAGTCTTCGGAGATTGTTCACACAGAAGTTAGTGTTTTGAAGCAGTCCAGTGTCTTAAAAGTGTTTCCTCTCTGCAGAATGTCTGATTCTCTAGAGGACATTCAACTGAAACATTCCTTTGTGTTCTTTTGACATATTTTCCTCATTGTACAGATACTAGAAAGCAGTATCAGTTTGTTCTTTTGATTGACATTTCCCTGTAATAATGAGTTGTAATAGAAAATACTGTTTATTCAGAGTTCTGTCCTCCTAAATTTTTCTGCATGCCAGTGGTTCAACTATGTTTACTCACCTAAGCCATATACTAGAAGGAACTCGAAGATGGTCATCTGCAGAGTTTAGAGCTTTGAAAGCACAATGTTGTAACTAATGTTTTTTTTTTCTGATGAGCCATTTATCTTATAAATTTTTAAAGCATAAAAGTTATCTGTCATACTATCTAAATAATTAATATTTTTTAGTAAAGCCTTCATCATCTTCACAGATTTTAAAGCCTTAAAATTGGCGACCTTTCCCTCTCTCCTCATTCCTTCTCCCTACTTCCTTTTTTCTCCTGTGTTACTCTTAAAATCCTTCACCTTTGCCACTGCAGGTCCCACATTTCCTATCACTGCCAACCTTAGACTTTTTGAGGTCATTGCAGCTAGGGTCTTGGAAAAGTACAGAAAGAATTTCAATCCACAAGTGGCTCATTCATAGATCGTTCAGAGGGTAGGGCCTCAAAGAACCTCTGCCCTGTTTATACAAGTGGATATGAGACTGGAAAATGCCTAAATTTTGCTCATACTCTTGCACAGTGACTGTAAAATATGAGCTGTTAAACTTGACTAATGAAAACTGACATTAGTACTTGACTAGTATTAGGCTTTCTTTAAAAATCTAATCCTCAAGTAATAATCAAAAAAGAAAAAGCACATCAGAAGCAAGCAAGCCTTCTCCAGCTTCATTATTTTGGCCATCAGCCCTTACTCTGCTGCAGTGAGACTTTCATGGGCCCTGAATAATGTTCTTGGAGACCTCTTCTACCTTTAAAAAAAAAATACATTACAGTCACACTTCTATTAAAGTCACGTTCATTTTTCTTCGATCCAAAGTCCTTTTAGTCTGAAAGAAATGAAAACGCATTTGTGGGCCTGAGGCACTGTGCCTGATTCATAATCAGGTTCTGCCAAAACTCTGCCGGCATCAACAGGAAAGCCTGAGCAACTCTTCTCTCCCGACAAATCGACCTCCCTGTCCTGGGGTAGTGTCACTCAGCCAGGCAGTGCCATCCCCCTGGCTTCCGTGCCACAGGCTTGGTCTTCATCTGTTGATCTTGCCCGAACCCAGGATTTTGCTCAGGATCAATTATCTCTAAAAAGGGGAGAAAGGGGCCTGGAGTGATAGTACAACAGGTAGGGTGCTGGCTTAGCACTCAACCTATGTGTTCAATCCCGGGCACCACATTTGGTCTCCTGCCCACCACCAGGAGTGATCCCCAAGCACAGAGCCAGTAGTAAGGTCTGAGCACTGCCAGATACGGCCCAAAAAAACAGAACACAAAAAGGAAGAAAAGGGGGCATGAGGGTTGGGTTCGGGTGGGGGGCAGTGATATTTAAACGCAGAGATGAGTTTTTATCTTCAGGTTGATAGTTTTTCTTCTGGTCCTTAGCAGTTTTCACTTACACATACGTATCCTGCCGCCTTTCTTTTCTTCTCTCAGCCCCTTTCTTCATCTTCACTTTCTCTACTACTTTCCTCTCAGCAATATTGTTCTGTCCGTTGTTGAGAGCTGGGTCTGGAGGAGAGAGAATTCTCCTGTTCCGGTTACCCTGAAGGGTGCAGGGCTGCCCCAGCCTTGATAGCTCTCTGGCCTCAGTCTACCATCTTCCTGTTTACCTTGCTTGCTTGCTCCTGTCAGGGTGAGTAGGAGACCTGGAGGGACTAACACAGTTCCCCAGGGGGGTTCTTGATGCTGAGTCCAGCACCCACCGGAGCCAACAGACACTGTCCTGTGACTTCCTCTCCCTGGCTCCTCATCAGAGATAGGTTTGGGTTGCGGGGCAGTAAGCAGGGAGACCTGCTTGTTGCAATTTCACCTGCACCCCTAGCAGTAGTGCTGGGTCTAGAGACCAGCACTAGAGTCATTCATTCAATTTTGGAAAATTTACTTCTCCCCATAGCACAGCGGGTAGGGCGTTCGCCTTACAAGCGGCCAACATGGCCGACCCGAGTTCGATTCCTCCACCCCTCTCGGAGAGCCCGGCAAGCTACCGAGAGTATTGGATATGCCAGACACAGTAACAACAAAGTCTCCAATGGAGACGTTACTGGGCCCGCTCGAGCAAATCGACGATCAACGGGAGGGCCTTTACCTTTACCTTTACTTCTCCCCAACAGAAGCAAAGATTATCAAAATATATAAAAGCACCACTTATATCATCATTTATTTCGTCAGAAAGTTTAGAAAGATCAGATTTGTATCTCCGGTTTAATGGTTTGCTTACAGTATTTTAATTAATACCATATATTACAGTACTTTCAGAAACAAAATCATTGTGGAGAATAATGGTAATTTCTCTTCCTTTGTCTTGCTTCTCTGTACATCTCAGACAAGTGAGATCATCTGGTACTTCTCCTTCTTTGATTTATTTTGCATATTAACATGATACCCTCCAGATCCATCCAAATTGCAGCCAACTTTAGAGTTTAATGTTTACTTGTGGCTGCGTAGTATTCCATTCCATGTATACGTCACCTTCTGAAACTCTTATCCACTCTTAGTGGGAATGTTGCCTGGTTCAGCCTCTGTGGGAAATCTAAGAAATCTCCAAAGAGTAAGAATGTAGCTACCATATGACATGGCTGTCCCCACAACACAAAAGCGTTCATTCAGATGATACGTATCTACCTGTATTCATTGTAGCGCTGAATACAGTAGCCACGATATGGAAGTGAACCTTATTCCTTGACATTTTCTTAAATGGTTTTATGTATCTTCTTTCCCTATAGCCTCTTTTCTCTGTTTTATTACTTGACCTGTAATTTGTGCACTTTGGTATTCTCTAAATCTATTTTTTTAACCACCTTAAATCCTTTCTGGAACAGGGCAGAATATGTTATATCTCTAAATCAGGAGAAAAATTAAAATATCCCAGAGAAGTTGTAATTATGCCAGGACCCCGATACTAAACTAAATTTAAGAAGGTAAAATTAACTCATAGTATCTGGGATGTTTTTATTTTCCTCTTTTGGTGTTTATGAATATATTCATAAGAACTATGATTTCAGAGAACTGTGCCTGATTTACTATCTTTTGAGTTTTCCCAGAATAGCCTTCTTTGGGATTATGAATTCAATTAAATACGATTTCACAGTTCATGTTTCTATTTCATAGGTTACCATGTTTCTTCCAACCTGTGGATTGTAAAATAATATTTAGATTTTAGCATGATTTAAATAGATTGATCATATATCTTTGCATTTGTGAATTGACATGTAAATTCTGTATAATGTAAGCTTACTATGATTTATAAACTTGTTGCTGTTCTTTTTCCCAAATATTATCAGTGTTTATAAATTTCTTTTATTTGAATTTTGGAATGTTCTGAATAAAACACGGAGTAAACTTCTTTGGTACTTTTAAATGTGATGCCATGTTACATATATTAAAGAATATTGTAAATATTAATATTGTTTGTACAATGATGAAAGTTTTTTCTCAAAATAACTTACATACTTAACTGATGCATTATAAAATATTTGATTTTGCTTTGGGATTTTATCTGGTAAAAATTTAGAGAATGTGGGCTCATTCTAAAAGTTCTAATATGAATAAAATTTTTAAAATAAAGTGATGTACCATTTGGTGTTTTTTTTATAGCATTAAAAGCATACACATTACACATTGAATTGAAATATAAGCCATATTATTCTGCAAGGGCTGGAGCGATAGCACAGTGGTAAGGCATTTGCCTTACAAGCGGCCAACATGGGCGACCCGAGTTCGATTCCTCCGCCCCTCTCAGAGAGCCTGGCAAGCT